CGGCCTAATACACAAACACGTTGTGAACAAAATAATGGAAACACCATGAGAAAAAAACACTTAAGTAACTAATTCACAATTCCAATAACAGCTGTGTAAGTCAGAAAAACACTGTGAGGAACCTGATAAGGCTGTTTTGTGTCCATATTCAGCTGCTCTGCTGATGGCACTGAGGGAAGGTCAAAGCTAGACCTGTAAAGTCTCTGTAGGGGAGTTAATAGCTGAAGGGTTGAAAAGGGTGGAAATATTAGGGTGCTGGGGGCGTTTTATTAGGATTCCAGCTCATGTGAGGACAGAAGAGAAAGAGCTGACAGATAAGCCAGTTAAAGCAGCATTAAGACGGCAGAAGAGATTTGCACTAGGAAGAACAGAATATTAAAATATAACAGATGAGGTGACCCGTCAGTGGCAGAGGGAACCGCAAAAGTAGCAGAAGTAGACTTCATTATTTGGCACTGCTTTGATTTGGCAAAACTTCATTTATTTTATGTAATGGGACTTTTTCTTCCGTTAAGTTGAAAATCTTGGCGTTAACACTTAACAACTGACGGTGGAATCTAATACAAGTGATATATAAACTACTGTCAAACTAAGCAAAAGTACCACACTATGTTTTTTTCTCAATATTGGGAGTACTAGCTTGATTTATGCAAATTTTAATTTGAAGTTAATGTAATGTAATAACTTGCTTGACAGGAATATTCCATACAGCAAGAATAATGCACGGTTTTAAGAGCAAATAAATCTCATTTCTTAATGTTTAGTGACAGACTGTTTACAAAGGAAAACATCTGCACGAATGTAATCATATTTATCAGCTGCTGTGTAGTTAGGAAAAGCATCTGAGAACACTTCATAGAGTATAATTACAGCTGAGAGCACTTTATCTTCTGTCTGTCAGGATGCTCTTAAACCTTCTTTAATATGAAGCGCCAACACTTGTGCATTAAAGTCAACCTGTTATCAAAATTGACCTTTTTTTATGTTCTTAGTTCACGTTCCTGATTCTATTTAGCATTTAGACTCATCATATCATTTAAAAAAATACATTTATTTTTTGTTCCATAATCTTCCATCGAAGAGTTAAGACTTTTACCCCACCTCTACTTCTTCTGATTTTTGATTCCCTCACCGTGCACCAGTGAGCTCAGAAAAATAAGACTAACCATTAATATCATGTTTCAGCTCCCCCTTTCACCGCCACCTATCATCGAGAGAAAATATTTAGCTAGCTCAGAGACCCTCCCTGATACTGAACAGAAATATCACACAGGACAGAAGAATACATTGCGTTTTTCAATTCACACTAAATTTAAAGCTGCACTATGTAGGTTTGGGGGATTTGGAGACCTCTCTGGTGAGAGAGGAATTGCATGTTTTGTTGATTTTGTTAATGAAAATAACCTCTACAGGAAACAAACTTAAATACGGCATTTTCAGGCAAATTTTCTTTTTATTTGCTGGGCTTAAAAAAAAGAAGCATAGAAGGTGCAGTAACTTTTTCACAGGCCACATTTAATGTTTTTTTTTCACCTAATATGTTAAATTCAGCAAATAAACAGTAGTTGTGCATTACACTGTGTAGAAGTGTGTTCTCTGTAGAGGATGTGTTTACTGATTTTTACTTAGAAGATCAATAAAACACATCATTTCACCAGGGGCACACAAACCTTTCCATTCTACTGTTATGATGCTGGCAGCCTAGTTGCTATTATTTAGTTCACAGTTTTCCATTCCGGAAGACTGTTATGCTTGTTTATGCAGCTTAAAGGTGCATGAGTCAAAACTGAAGGTTCGCAGACCTCTAGCGGTTAAATAGGTGAAGAACAACAACACTGGAATGGCCTTTTTTACTCTCTGAATTCACCTCCCATTCCTGCCTATCAACACAAAGCACATCCACAGAATCAGGCGGTACCCAGTGTCAGGTTCATTCAGACTTTGAGAGCATTGCCAAGCATTTTCATGACTTCATTGTTTGGTGATGAGTTAGGCTGTTTATTAAAGACTTTTTGTGAAATCACACTATCCAAGTACTCTTCAAATACTTCTTTGTATAGCAGCGGTGTTTGGCCAGAGTGAGCATCAACCTCCCATGTCTCTTTTGTCCAGGGGAACTGTGAAGCCTATTAACACTTACCATTCATTCAGTACATACTGTTTTGCTGCTCAAGAATGGTCAAGAGTATCCAATGTTTCTTTGTAATGAACTGTAATGAGGCAAATGCAGCAGCATTTAAGATGGAACGGAAAGGCTGAATAAGAAGCCAACTTTAGCCTCATCGAGTTGGCTTTGTTACCTGCACAGGAGTTTGATGCAGTTGACTAGTATTGCATACATTTCTATGAAGGTGGTTGATCCAAAACATTACTTTATGACAAAATTATAAACATTTATCCACTTGAATTGATATGTAAAGTTGGTCATTCTTGTCATTAGGTTTTTTTCCCTGCAGTACTAGAACCTGGTGCCGCGAGCCAGTAACTGAATTCCGCCATGTTTTTGAGCCATGCAGACACAGGTAGGGGTGGAGTTATGTGGTGTAGGGGAGGGTCTTATAACATGACAGACATGTGATCTTAGGCACATAATAACCTTGAAATAATGCCATTGCTAAAACTAGTTAATTTTTGTACTACTAACAAAAGAAACAAGTTAATTAATGCACCTTCAGTTCATCAATATAGGTTATCCTGTCATTCAGAGCCGCACTTATGGATAATATGTGGTTATATGTATGTTGTACTTATACAAGTATTCCTCTTTGTATGCCACTAATACATGCAATAACAAGTTATTCCAGTAAACTGTCAAGTGCATCTTCATCCAGTTTCACTGTATTTATCTGGACAGTTTCTTTAGCTGACTGGGTACTTGAGTAAAGTTATTTTCAGAAGGCCTGTAGAGCAAAATCAATAAGAAGGTGATGGAATACTTACCCAACCAGGATATTAAGTAAAGTGGCAGGGGCGCCATCAATACACCACTGCACCTACACTGAAAGAAAATAAAAGAAGAAGCAAGTCGTATTAGAACAAATCAAGAACCATATAGTTGTTCAGTTGTTCTGTACTGACAATAAATATGATATACTCAGAAAAGTGAATTGCGATGTAATTTATCATGATAAAAAGGACATATCCTCAAATAGCCCACCCCTTGACATTTATACAATCAAGAAAAAACAACTTAAACAACAGTACAGGTTTACAAATGTGTGCTTGAATGCCACTGAATGTTTACATAAAATACAAACTGAGGTAGTTGATAATAAGTTAAAAGAGGTACCAGAGGCCTGTCAATCAGCACTCTGATATATGACTTTATAAAGCAACTAAAAATCCAAAATTGACAAAATGCAGGATGAGTCAAATGTCAGGAACCACCTAAACCTCTGTTAGATGCTTAAATATGTATTGGACCAATAACATACAGCATAGATACACTGGTCTAGTACATAATGGTAATAATCAGATCAATCTCATTTTAAGCTTCTTATAAATATTTGGTGGTTAAATAATAACCCTTGGTATAGTTGGTATCCACATTTCATGTCCATCAGAATGAAAACAATTATTTGATGTGTCAAGGGAAAAAGACTTCAACATCCTGACAATGTGCCAACTATGGACAAACTGCATTAGCAAGGAGGAACAATGGTCTCAAACCGAAGCCTAGATGTGTCATCAAGGGCATAGTTGCTAAACACAACAAAATTACAGCCTAAAGAATGTCTACAGAATTCAGCATCTCTATGACCGAGTTTCAACAAACACTGTACATGAGGAGCTGGTACTTATGATAACGACTGTATTCATAAACCACTTCTATATAAGGTCAACAAGACACAATGTGGCATAGAAAGTACAAAAACAAAAATAATATAAGCCAAAGTGTGCATCGACCCACAACTAAAACACGATGGTGGTCCCATGTAATGGCTTTACATGGAGCTATCTGACCTAGTTGCCCTTAATGGTTGCATAAAAGCAATGAACCACTTAAGGCCATGAATTACAGTGATTTTAACACCAATAAGGGGTGCTGTAAGGAATGACCAAGCAAAGTAATGTAATACTTATAATAATAATTGCAATGAACAATTTTTCCACCATGCAATGTAGTTTGCTCACAATAAGCTATTTAAAACTATTCCATGAAGGGCACAATGGTTCTTAATAACTTGATGCATTAACACACAATTCATTTGATATTTGGAGCCATACATGTGTATATTAACGGCTTCCAATGTGGCCCAGCCAAGATTTTAGAACCAGGCCTATCTGATTCATAATGACCAAAAAATATGAGACAATAAACCCTGTTTAGTACCTCCATACACACTGATATGTTCTATGAATAGCAAGATGATCGACAGCAAGTCCAATGTCTTCCATGGCATCACCAAACATCAAACTTCTATGGAAAGCTCTGGCATGCAACACTAAGTAGACCTCCTTCTCCATTCCTCAAGCTTTTCTTCTAGATGGTCCAATATACCTCTACATACACTTCAAGATTATACAGTTATACAACAGCATTCCAAGCAGGACTGAAGCTGTTCTGAAGGAAAAGCCTGGTGCACTTTATTAGGAACTTAACATCAACATATCCCTAGGTGTTTCCATTATTAGGGCCACTGTACTTCAATAGTGCATCTATATTTCAACACTGTCACAGAGAACAGAGCTTGAAAACACAAAGGGGATGGCGTGATAATTTGTTGTTGGTAGAAACTAGTTTTGTGACTCCAATCTATATTTAAAAGATTACTTCTAGCAACAAAAGTACTTTGTGCCTTTCCAACAGAAATATTGAAAAGCTGTTTCCTCATCTCACACATTCATACGCCTCTTAGCAATTATGCAGCATTAAAATGGATAAAAAAAAGTTTCATAAGAGCAAGAAACAAGCTTCCGGAGCAGAGATACTCCAGAATCAGCGGCCCTCAATCGAAAACATTTGTATGCACAGATCTGATCTTAAATTATTGTGTGAATCTCCAAACCACAGAAACTGTGTGCTCAAGTCACTTTAGTAATCACCCGTATGCACATGGCGATAACTTATCAAATTTAGAATAAAATTCAGGTATGACCTCAGGACAGGGGAATTTTGGTTTATTATATGCAGGCCCTCCAGGAATTCTGAATTGAGCTGATTCAGTTGACAGAACTGTCTGTGTATGTGTACCAGATTGTCATCAGGGAGACTCTGTGAACACTGAACAGGCTGTAACATGCCTCCTGCCCCTGAATGAAAAGAAAGGGTCTGGTAACTAGAGGATTCTCCTAGTAACCCATAGACAAAGTCAACAACAAACGACAAAAGCACCTGCCACCAGCTGAGCACACAACACAGAGCCAACAGACTTTTCTGGGCCTTTTTCTCTTCCAATATTGAAACCCTGAGTGTCAACTCATACCAATCCGGTATTTCTTCAACTAGGTTTTTAAATTAGCTGTTTGTAAATGAAGCATCTAAAAGTAGTCCATCATGCTCAAACTACTCAAAACACTACCAGCCCACAGGAAGAAATGCACACAATACACGATACAATATCCAGCCTAGCACTGTCTGCTGATAACTGCCCAATACTGACACCCAGTATTGGATGAGTTCCGTCTTTAAGTGCCAGTGAAACAAAAAGCTCATCGAAACCTCACACAGATGCAAGAGAGAGTAGAAAAATAAATAAAAAAATAATTTTCAATTTATTGTCTAGTTGATTAGTATGTCTGTGGTTAAAAAACATGAATGCACTAGGTGCTACACTCAGTTATCTGAGAACTCCCAATCACAATATTTTCCTGATAGGTCATGCTATTGTAATATTTTGATAATGTTAATGAACCTGTGTTTCCTGAAAACATCTGGTTAATACGTCAGACCTGTAGAGCATTCCTCTAGCACAGGGCTTCTCAAGCACTATGCAATGGACCTTGCAGCACACTTTGGTGGTCCTCGGACCCATACCGAGGGGGGTGCCAGTGGTCCAAAGTGGCAGGTGATGGCATTTGTCACACAAATCAGTGAAAAACTAATTGACATAATAATAGAAATATAAAACCTATTTCTCATTTCTCTCAATGTTTCAGCTGTCCAGTCGCAAGCGACTGACGTAAAAACTGTTGTAGAAACATTCCACTTTATTTGCAACCATTATGCCTGATTTGTGGTGTAAACAAGCTAACAACCTAACCTGCTGGCATTTTATTTCCACATAACATATTGCAGGGTAGGCACCCAAACATAGCTGAAAATTTTCCAAAATCGTGTGCCTTTATCCTTTCTTTTATGCTTTAGTGATAACAACTTTGAAGTGGAAAAGTTTAAGAACCCCTGCGTCTACACAGTGTCTTATAATCCTGACATATTAAACAGACAGAAATCACATTTCCAGAAAATTTGTATTTTCTACTTTTTTCTTTTCATAACAGTCTGAGGCACCTAACTAATGACATACATTGCAGTTAACTAAACTTTTATCTATCAAAACCACTGAAAATCAGTTTTACTGACTGACATCAAAATCAGTAAACCAATACAATACCCAGCATTAGGGTAATACCAATTCTAAGTTCCAAACCTCTTAAGTACCTGTTGATAGAGTACTGATATCAAAACCACCAGCTCCACTATAATCAAATGTTTTTGTACATGGGCCCTTTAAGAGGATTGTGCGCTTTCACTCGTAATTAATCTAAAGTGACTGAGCAGAAGCTGAGAAATCTAATCCTACTGAAGAAATGTTCCACTGCACAAAAAGATGTGATGAAATCAATACTATATAGCAATACTGCCATTGTGAAAGTGCCATTTTTAGTGGTACAAAATCAATTCAGACTGCCAACTTTACTCTTGCATCTTTAAAGGGCGAAACCACCTTCAAACCACCAAGAAAATCCTTTCACTGGACCAAAAAGCGAACCAGGAAAGCGAAATAATAAAGCTACAAACGTATGGTTAAAAATAAAATAAATACATCAGAATCAAGTATTTATTATCCCAGCAAACTTGGTGAAATTAAGTAATGTATAAGGAGTGAGTATCAACTGTGCAGCACAGTACAGTGCAAAAGAGAACTTCATATGCATTTCAAAAAGGATCAAATATAAAAGCTTCTTCAGAGAGTCCAAAAAATTACAGGGAACATTCATTTGGAGCATATTTTCCTAATATAACTTACTTACTGTACAATCTTGACTGCACATAAAAAGAATTTCACACTTACAAATGATATTTCCTACTGAAAGATAGTTATACAAAGAAACTTTATAATATTTTACACGTTTACAGATGTGATATGGCATTAACTGCTACTTAAATAAAAAGATATTTTAAATGGTATTATTCAGCTCAAACAACCTGTTTCTTTAGTCTATTAAACTATTGCAGTTTAAAGTTATTAAAGTACTGCAGCTTGCGAATAATACATTAACACAAAAACACAATGTATAATGCAGTGTTTTTGTTTTTTTTTGTTTTTTTTTACATTTTTAATTTCTAATTTAATTATCTGTGGGGGTGGGGGGTTGAGGAATTTGAGGTAACTGATGATTTATTTACGCAGTCCATCAGCTCACGTAGGTCAGCACAACTGACTGAATGGGCTCTCTGCAGACGGGACACAGCTTGTTGCGGTTTTTCAGCTTTTTGGCGCAGGTGTAACAGGCCATGAGGTGTCCTGTGCGGCCATGGACGATGCAGCCGTTCTTGGGCCTGCTCTGGCAGATGACACAGGGCTCCAGGCAGGTGGCGGGAAGGCAGGCCTCCAGACTGTTGAAGCGCTCCAGCTCGGGAGTTTCCTCCTGGCTGTGTGCCACTTGTGAGGAGGAAGTGGAGGGCTGAGAGGAGGAAAGGCTTGAACCCTGGGAATCTGAGACGGAAGTGGCTGCAGCAGTGGCAGCTGTGGATTCGTCTCTGCTCGTGGCAGGTGATCGTGAACACTTGCCGTCCGGTACATCCATACCTTCATCAGGATCATGGGTGGGGCTGGAAGGCTTTGAGGGTAAGGGTTTGGATTCTGAGGCAGAGCTGAGGTTTGTACTGAGACAGGTGCTATCAGCAGCTGCGCTCATTTCGGTGTCATTGCTGGGATGCTCTAGGCTAGAGTTTATCTCTGGCAGCCAGTCTGGTCGAACTTTCCAGCAGCTTTTGCAGTGTCGAGGGAGTGGAGGGTTCAGCTCATCGCACTCAGAGCACTTCCAGTAGTCCTGAAGACGCACAGAACACACAGATCATTATATTGTGCTTTTACAGCTAAACAGGGACCATGTCCAGTAATGTAGTCCTCTCCAAAGAAATGAGATGCCACACAGTACAAAAAATAATAATAATAATAATAATAATAATAATAATAATAATAAATGAATGAATGAATGAATGAATAAATGGAAAAAAATAAATAAAGAAGTTCTATGACAAACCATTTTGGTGCTACACAAAATTTTAAATGGTTCTTTAAAGGGGTATGTACAGCAGATTCCCCATCAAAATAACCAACCTTCACAATTTTGGGTTAGTAACATACTTTGAACAGCACACATAGTGCAAAAAGTACGATATTTGTCATTGGTTGTAGACTTATAGATTTAGATTGGTTCTATAAATTACCTTTAATATAAACTATATTATATATTATCCTTTAATAAAGAACTCTTTGAAGACTTTTTTATAGTGCAAACCAAGACAAACTAAACCACAGTACAGCTTCATGGCCATCATTATTTCACAAAGACAGTGTGGACAACATTTCAACTTATTAAAAAAAAGTCATTACAGCTAAACAACCGTCACTGGATCAGATAAAAAAGTAACTAGCAAACATACTGCCTCAGTGATCTCAGGATCTTCATCAAAGGAGTCTTCATCTTCTGCAAAGATTGTAACCTCATATACCTATGGAAAAAAATTTAAGAAATACATTTGTTACAAAAATGAAAGACAAAACTAGAAAAAATATAAAATAGAAAGAAGCTGATGGCAGATTCCAGAACTGTCATGGCAACAGCTGATTCTAAAAGCAAACTTAGAGGACAAGCCACCACATGAAATTGCAATTCATGACCACAAGAGGGAGCAGTGTGCTTTGCTGTACCCTTTGACCAAATTAAGGGAACACATTCACAATGAAAGGAAGGAATGTATATAACTTTTAATGAGCCTATAAATTTGAGGTAGCATTTGTTGTGCCCCTCTAAACATGAGGGGCACAGCTCTATTTTAATGGCACCATAGAATTGAGAGCTTGAGACCTCATCTTCTCCTGGTACAGAGTCGTCATCATTCTCGCTGTATGCGTCCGAATCAATGGACTCCACCTCAAACTCCACACTGAAGTTATCAGAGTCAGAATCTTCACTCTCATCACTGTTCTCACTATGAGAAATACCTACATCCTGTGGAGCAGAAACAGAAACTCCAGTCAGACAAGAGAAATAACACATTTATGGCATATCACAACACACTCCAGGCACTAAATGCAATACTATCCCAGGGAATTAAATATGTTGAAACCTTAAATTTTTTTTTAAGGACCCAATATAGTATTTTCTTAGAAAGCTGTGTTCATATATTGTCACTCACTGTCACAAGAAGACCTTGTATCTATGTAACAGTAACTTAATTTAAGAAATACTGTTCTAATCTTTAACATCAGTTAATATAACACAATTTTATTCCAAGTAATGTTGGGCAATTCTAATAAATAAATAAATAAATAAATAAATAAATAAAAACTGGCAGCAACAATATTCTCCAAAAAGTTCAAACACAGACGAACTAACTTGATTTCAGGGTATGGCATTGAAACATATACCTTCCAAAAACACAAGTATTTTCATACACAGTAACCATCTTAACGTAGGAAAAAGGATCCCTAAGGGTGTATGCATATATGGTGAGCACTAACCGAATTGCTAAATGAGTCTGAAGACTCGCTGCTCCCTCTCTCTCTGCGAAGGCCTCCGATCACACACCATGACAGGCTGTCGTCGAACGTCAGAGAGAAGCTGTCTGACTTGTGCCTTTTCCTGGGCTCGCTGCTTTCATCCTCAACTGAGAAACTTGCTGGAAAAAAAAAGAAAAATGAATAAATAAGTTTGAGCCAAAACTCTGCAAGGAGGTAACTGACAAAGCAGTGCTTCTCAGTTAATTAGATTACTTTAGCCCATAGTCAACCCCGTTCAAGGTGAGCAGAGGTTCAGGACATTCTTATTGAACAGTGCTCACTTTGGACTTAAATTGTTCCGCTTTCACTACCTGCCAAGGGATTTTAATCTTCCCTAAACACTGCATTACAATATCTCAATGCTAAAAAACTGCCAAAGCAAAGAGTAGGACTCACTGATTTCATTTCTCATTCTTCATAAGAAACTCATCACCATAAACATCATTAGGGAAAACTACATGAACTTCAACAAGTTTGCTGTACTACCTAATATCCTGATGTGTACAACTGCTATGTCACAACTACTTAAAGCAATAACACAGTTTCTAAATGGTGCCTCAACAAGATTCCTAACTGCTGCCTGATGAAACAGGCTGCTTTTGTGTGGACGTTTTCAGCTTGGAAATGAGCCACTATAGAGAAACAGTCATCTGAGCACATTCTGCACTGCCTCCAGACCTCTGTGTCCTTTACGGCTAATGGGTGGCTGTGCACTGAGATAAAGAGAGCAGTCATTAGCTGCCACATGTTGCCCACACATGTGCTCTTCTCTGGGGTAAGGGACTTGCCATATACTGAGGGAAGTGTCATACTCCAGGGCCTGGGCTCACATCTGAAAATAGAAATGCTGATCTAGGATCAGGTTTTCTGTTTTCCTACGCAACAGAAGTTACTAACCTAGGTCCTCTGGGCCTCCCTAACAAGTCTGTTTATTCTACTCCAGTTCTGGACACACCTAAACCATGTAATCAGCATTTTAACAGCCCTTTAAAAAAAAAGACACCTCAGCTATGTGGGAAGCTGGAGGGAAACAAAAATATGGCCTGTCTGAGAGGCCTGCATGGCTGTTTTGATAACCTAGACTTCATATCACTCCAGCACTGATGTTCTTGACTTCAAATTTTTATAACAGCTGATGCTGTATTTTCATTAATATCAGCACAAGTTATTCTAGCAAACCTAAACATATGATTCCATTACAAAGATGCTTTCTAGGTTTTTAAATAAAGTCTAACACTACGGAACAACCTTAAAAGAAACTACAGCTAACATTCTAATCTAATCTCACACTAAAATGCCACTGAAAACACCATGTGTAGTAGAATGAGGTGTGTCAGATTAGGCAAGTCTCAGATTTCCACAAATTAGATCCATGTTGGACACTGCTGTGTTAAAGTGAAATATAACATGTGAATATATATATCTGAATACTTCTGCCTAACATACCACAGCCATTCAGTTTATTACAGCATGTTTACTTGACTTTGGAAACACCCTCTTTAGCAAACCATCCTACTGCCTCTGTATCTTTACATTTCAATTTCTCTGGTCTAAATGTGTGTGTGGGTGTGGGTCTGGGTCTGTGTGTGTGTACACTCACAAGGATCACTGCTTCGCCGTCTCCTGCGCTGTTGCTGCTGCACTGAGGTAGATGAGTCTGAGTTTATCCCCTGGAACAAATAAACAAGATTTAGTCTCACCACTGAGGACCAAAAAGAGCAGGAGCTCTATAAAACCATTCAACCCATAAGACCATCGGTGTGATACTGCTTCAAAGAGCCAGTTGCCCTGATTGTGCTTTGGAGAGTGATGTGGAACAAAACAACTGCTGATTTCCACGTGTATAAATGTCAAAGTTAAAGCATGCATGGAACTGGGAGTCTTACAGAAATACAAATTAAAACGATGTCTATATAATGTGAATATGGAGCAGTAATTGCTCCACATATCCAAAAGTCAGGCTAAATCAGAATCTGATATTTCAGAATCTGAAATATTTTATAATAACAGCAGTTGCTATTAGAGTGTGAAATTTACAAGGAAAAAAAATATACTAGGAATGTCAGCACAAGATCTCTTTCTCTTAGTAATGGGAAATGTGCTGGTTTTAAATGTGAATGTGATCGACATTGTAATACATTTTGTTTTTAGTCAGATTATGCTGGACAATGATGGTGTATTTATTTACCTCTGGCCCTCTGTCAGGTTCAGTTCGACTCCTGGGTTCTGAAAAGGTTGACTGAGACTCTATAAAGAATAAGAAGACAGGTTTTAGAGGACTAGAAAAAAAAATGTAAAAAAAAATGTAAAATAAATAAATATATATATATATATATATATATATATATATATATATATATGAATCAGCACTTTGTTTAAAAACAAATACAATCAAAGTGTTTATACCTGGGTTTTTCACTGCTATGAGGTTTTTTGAAATCATTGCAAACAAAGCTCTGAAAAGACAAAGGCCTAATAATTAACATCCTGGATAACATTCAGTTTCAGTTCCTATACTGTAAATTTGCATAAACACAGAAACAATGCAGCTGCAACAGCAATAAAGGCAGGTGTTCATCAAAAATATACATTTTACAAATATATGCCTTTTTAAAATCCATTATTCCATGTTGCAGATACATATTATAGATAATGTCAGGTTTTACTGTCAGATGGATTAAAAAAAAAAGCCACCTGTGCTTTGTTAGCCCCACCCTTCATGCCCAGGAGACACAGCAACAGCACAGCTGTTCCTGCCCTTCTCAACGTGCCAAAACTGCACAGCAGATGGGTAAGCTTCCAGAGGGCAGTGTAAGGGGAAACTCACCGTGGTTCTTTGACTGAGAAGCTGGCCACTCCGAGCACTGCACCGAGTGCATCGTTCCCGCAGTGGACGATGTGCTGCTGCTGTTTATCGTATAACTCCTTACTCATGATGTACTTACCGAGGTAAAACATGACCTGAAAAAAAAATATATACACAAGAACACAATAGGGGCTGATTAGCAAAACAAACGTACATCATGTTCTGACCCTACAAAGACAAAACAACATTGATAAGAGAAACAAAGTGAATACTAAACCACCTAAGGATGTAGTCAGTCTCCAAGCACTTTAGGCTATTGATACATTTAAGCAAATGAGTGAAATGAGAGCCCTAGTGGCAAGGACTGAACTAGCTTAACTGCAGACTATGATGAATGCGGCTAATTGTAGACTACAGTCAGGAATTCAGGCAGACTCAATGTAAAGTCAGATCACACTACAGTCATATCAGATAAACATAAAAAACAAAAGACAACTTTGAAAATGCACACATACTTCAGTGACTGAAATAAGTATACCTATAATTTATTATTTTTGTGTTCAATGCATAAACAAACAAAGCATCTCATGTTTGCCGTCCATTCCTGTGGTTAACACATGACTAATGCATTCCAATAAAAAAAGCAGACAAAACCACAGTAAATGAGTCACAGTGACACATCAGCTTTTTATCTGTGCAAGGATGAACAGCCAATCACAAGCTGTACCTCCATTATTCAAACATATGCAAAGTAAAATGGAATATTACTCTGCACACAGCATGCCAAATGATAAGATAACAACATTTTGACTTGGACTCAAAGAGGAAATAGAAAACAGACAAAACTGAAAGCACAACAGCAAGTTAGAATTTAAAAAATGCTGACAACTCTCAAAAGGCCACGCCTGCACAATTTACAAAGATACGTGTACTAGTACGTGTGAACTAGTTTGAGGGATAGCAACTGAAACTTGAGAGGACTGATTATTTTTAACCTTCACAGCCAAAAGACACTGTCTTCACGTGAAGTGTACACTCCAAAAAGAGGCAATGTTCAACAAGTACCACACCAGCACTTCTTCTATGACAATATATGCAAAAATGACTAACATCAGTGTTCATATTAACTTGTCTTAACATTGGATGTCGCAGAACACAGAAAAGATCACATTTTTAGACATTAAGCTGAGTCTTAGACAAAGCTTCACTCTGCAAGTGTCATTTTCCATTAGAACCCTTAATAATGTAGGGCTTGACTTAATCTGTGCAATGCCTAGGCTCAGGTGTAATGAGAGGAGACAGGCAAAACCTGTCAGATACAGCCCTTCCTACCTCCTTCATGGTGAAAACATCCTTGTCTGCACCTGCATCTTTTAACAGGGTTTGCAATTGCACTTTGGGTCTTACCTGAACCAGAAAAAAGAAAGAGAACATAAGTCTCACATCACAAATACAAGCAAAACAGACAGATTTTACTGATAATCCTACTCAACATCACAAGAAGCCAACTGATCCAAGAATACACATCAAAAAATAGTAATAATACAAATAAAGGTTCTTAAAGGTACAGTTACTTTACTCACCAGTTTTTCATTGTCAATCTTGTTGATCTGGGAGCTGCTTAAACAACTCTCAGTAGCCATTCTGATAATCTGTAGAAATGAAAACAAGCAGAATTTAGTTAGCTTCCCATCCAACATCACAATAAAACATCTGAAAAAGTTAGAATGAATGACAAATTTTACCTAAATAAATAGAGGTAATGCTAATATTCTATACACTGTACATAAAGTGCTTGGGTTCAGTGAGAAGTGGGAGCTTTCTGAGAGCCGGCTCCTGATTTAAATAGCCCTACAGAGGCATGTCAGGACTAGCAAAAGATGTGTAAGGGCGGAGAGCAGCTGACATGTCGAAGCATGACTAGCGCAATAGTGGGAGGCACCTAGTGGCCGGGAAGCATCAACACACGCTTCCCTAAAGCTGGGCTACATGTCCGGACATGTTCCCCGGCTCAGCGCCTTACACACAAAGCAGTCTGCATTGTGTAACAGTCATCACAGAGAGTCGGACTGATTGGAGCTAATAACATTAAGACCTGGAGACAAGTGGACCAACGCTAACTTTCTGGATCAATCACTGGACATATAACAATGAAGATTAAAAGACTTTTAAACGATACTAATAATTTGCACCCATTAATGCCACTGTTAACGATGGAAATGTATAAACAGCTGATGCTCCAGTCGTTTATATCGTTGCGGTGCTAACGTTACGTTTCATCCTTACTGTCCAAGCCGCTAACTGTTCTTCCTGAAAACAGTAACTAGCTAACTTAGTGAACTGCTTAATGCATTCATGTCCAACTTCTTAACGGATGACTTTCTCTATTTCCAAACTCTTAATTTTCTCTCTATATGTCTATTTGTAGTCCAGTGTGACGGAGAAGACTGAATTTAATATGATAACGCATATGATAAAACTCATTTTCAGCCATATGGTTTTGGTCGATTTAAAAATTCAAGAAGTTCAGCAATATGGACCAAAGGATATGTAAAATCTGCAATATATACACTGACGGCTTAAATGACTCAAATAATACGAATATGTGTACCTATTGTAGCGACTGTTAATAAAAACAACACATAGGCCACGGCTGCATTTACATTACATATTGCTGCATTATATTTTCCAACACTGCGCATGTCCAGTATTGACAGGTTAAAATAAGGTTGCTGTATAAAAAGATGATACTGGTTAATTAAGGCCGATATGAGTCGTCTGATAGAGTAAAGTAACAAATTGCATTTAACACTTTACATTCTCAAACACTAACAACCAAGAAACCTTACAGCAGCTTCAAAAAGCTTAACGACAGTGAACTTGTACTCCGCAAGCACTAAAACAACAGCTGCAGAAAACAAGAAATGCAAACAAGTGTTGAGAGAGAGCGACAGCTGAAGAGTGAAATTAACGTTACAGCCCAAGTCTGAAAAAGCCAAGGCTAGACAGGTGCTTCGTATGTACAGATAAGCAGAGCGACAGACAGCCTGTTATATACTTTATTAATCCTGAAGCAAACCGCAGAGCTACAGCAATAAACAAAAACTGCACGTCACACACAAACACAGTCGCGCTGACCGTAAGTTTTCACTAACTTGGCAAAAACTGAAATGCTGTATGTGCATAATGTAGCCGCTTATCATGTTACACGGCTGTTCCTTCCAGGAACATTTCTGACACAGTTTATGCAGTTGTCCTAAAGCACACAGAGTTGAAAGTACAACGCTAGTTTAGCGGAGAAGCGCGGCCATTGTCCGCAACTCTGAGCGCCTCTGTTAGCAGGAAACACCGCGGCTTCACCAGGCCTCACCGCTGCACTGCTAGCCTAGCCTAGTCCAGCTCACCTGCTAAACTCACCGACCGAACTAAACATGTAAAGGGTTTAAACAGGAAAGCGACGTTAACATATCTGCGGTTTTCATAACGCCGAAAGTTATACGTTATAGAATACATATAAGCGTCTCTCACCGATGCTCCCGCGGAGGATCTCCAGCGCGCGCCTGTTTCAGCGCCTCCTGCTGGACCGTTAGACAATTTAAAAATTTGAAAAATAACGAACCACAGGCTCACGTGCGGCGCACGCGGGTAAAATGACAACAAATATGAATATAATAATACCAATAATAATAATAATAAGATACAAATAATTAAAACTCAGCTCTCTGGCTGCCCATTATTATTATAATTGTTATTATTATTGTTGACGTTGTTATTTTTATTTTTTCTTATTCTTTAGAAATAGTTCATGTTATTTATTTAATATTGTTAATATTATTGTTATCGAACACCTTTAACACAACTCAAAGTGCTTCACAAAACAGTAAAGTAAATAAAAAAAAATCTTCCACAAAACATGACATAAGATTTTATTAAAATATAATAACAATATAAATACAATGTAAAATCAAAAGTGGAATAAGTTTCCACCTGAGTGGTTATATGGATGAAAGAAATAAGAAGCCTTAACCAAAATGGTATATGAGACGCGTGTCAGTATTATTTAGGGTCTCAATCAGATTTCACAATAAAAGTCATTAAGCGACCGATCGAAGATTTTCATTTTTAAATAGTAAAATATAAAGTGTAAAAACGAAAATGTCCTCCTTTATGCCCTCACCTACACTCACACTGTCAAATAAAAGAACACGTGCAGATTTATTGTACTTTTGCACTCTATATGTGAAGGATCTGACAGTTTCCTTTAAATTTAATTATTAATTATTTAATAATGAAAGTGTGGTTATCTAACCAAGTCCAGTAACCCAAAATCTATAAAGCTGTGTCACTCAAACCACATTAACTTTACAAAACTGCTCATGTTCTGCATTTTTAGTTGCTAAAAGCATCCACTAAACAATATTATCATGTTTTAGTCCTACCAAAACTGATTAGAGACGCTGATTAGAGACTTCACTGATTAAAGTATTTGTCATCCACTATAGGGTCCAGAAGGTAAATGGGACTTTAATCACGGCATTAACATTCACTGAGCTGATCAATGAACCACACACTGTGTAAAATAAATGCCCTGCTTTTCAACAACAACAATAACAATATTATTATTATTATTAATAATAATAATAATAATAATAATATTAATAATAATAATAATTACTATTATTGTTATTTACAAAACATTTCTTTACAGTTGTGTACAAAAGTCATGGCACATTTTATACTGTACATTTTATGTTTTTACAATATGTAAAACTCCAATAAATAAATAAATAAATAAATAAGCAAATAAATATAAATTTTGCAACAAAATTGGCAAAAGATGAAGCATAAAACATGGAATACAATAAATAAACAAATTACTAAATAACACTGTTACTAATGTTCACTGAAGGACAATTATCCACACAGGAAACATGTCCTGGGCAGGTTCTGGAGGGGCAGACGACTGTTGTTATGACTCCATAGCTAGCATTATTCATTAGAGGAAGAGAATTTTCTCTCTCCTGAATCATTCATGTGGCTGTGAGTGCTCAGTTTAATGACTCAGGGTTTATTTTAGAACTGCATGTTCCTTTAAGCTCGACATGTTTGGGCTTGTAAGGTTGAAATTGTGACTCAATTCCTGGACGAGTAAAGATGCTGGAGAAAAACCAAGATTAAGGGTCAAACACTTCAGATTAGATCAAATGTATTGCGTCCATTTCACAGCTGTTTGATTGAGTCTTGCCTATCTGAACATGCCTCACATGCCTCTGGATCTTCTAAGGATCATTGTATTTTATCTGTAATTACATTTTGCACATTATTATAGTGCTACAACCGCAAATTACAGTAAATTACAGTGGAACGAGTATGATCAAATTACATTTTATGTCAGTTTTGGGTTTATAGTTGGGAGACAAAGAACTGTCTGTGTGAGGTCGAGAGACATGTAAACACTCACATAAAAATACAGAGACATTACGTTATGACACACCCTGTCTACCCAGCTCCTTTAGGCCAGTTTAACTCTTTTCATCTCATCTGTGCTCTGAATGTACAATCATGCCTGGGCATAGTCCGACAGGAAAGAATGGCCACTTTAAAATGGATATCATTATATTATTTCATATCATTCACGTATATGTCTTTATTCATTCATGTATTTCTTACAGTCATTTTGTTCAATGTCTTTGACTATAAAGCCATTTGGATTATACTCACTGGCCACTTTATTAGAAATGCTACCCTGTAGGTTCAGTTAGTGCCCTCTTTCCCTCTATATAGCCATCCTCTATCCCTTCATCAGTCACTCTTGGTGGGATATTTTTGGTGGTGGACCACTCTCAACCTAGCAGGGACACTGACTTGTGTAAAAACTCCAGTAGCATCACTGTCCACCAAATAATATCTTGACAACAGTCTGTAAATTGGGTAATTGTGGATAAACGTTTCTAATAAACGTGGAAGTACACAGTAGGTGTTTCTAATGAAGTGGCCAGAAAGTGGAAGATCAAGGTAGGTGTTTCTAATAAAGTGGCAACTCTGTGGAAGTCTAAGGTAGGTGTTTCTAATCAAGTGGCCACTGAGTGGAAGTACAGGGTAGGTGTTTCTAATCAAGTGGCCACTGAGTGGAAGTACAGGGTAAGTGTTTCTAATACAGTGGCCAGTAAGTGAAAGTATAAGGTAGATATTTCTAATAAAGTGGCCAGTGAGTGGAAGTACAAGGTAGGTGTTTCTAGTAAAGTGGCCGCTCAGTGGAAGTACAGGGTAGGTGTTTCTAATCAAGTGGCCACTGAGTAGAAGTATGGGGTAGAGTGCTTTCAAGCCTGGTTCACTCCACATTCATTAACAGAGCACTTTTAGCAAACAATCACAAACCACGAGTCTTTAAACACTCAAATCCAACCACGGAACTATGAGAAACATCTGGCCTAAGTTTCTGTGAAGCAGTTGGATACTTTGTGGTGCTGGCAGGGAGTGCGTACTCATGCTAATTGGTGGCAAGTAAGTTTGCATTACTTAGCTACATGCCAAAGGATTATTTGGAGCAAAGCCATAGAAGAACCAGTTTTGTAAACGAGATACATGAGTGTCAAGAACCTTTTGTATTGAACATTATGCACGTTATATACAGCCTTCACAATAAAGGAATAAAGTTTTCTAAATAAAGGCAATGACATCAGGTGCAATTTGCAAGAGAACATCTTTATTTTTGCAGCTTTAATATGTAGTTACTTGATTTGTGACTCAATTTTTAACCTTTACATAGATATGTAGACTTCAATATAGCATTTGAATACCCCCCCCCCCATCGTTTCTTAAATGTATTTTTGTTTATGCATATAAACACATAATAATATACTAAATTTCTTGAATAACAAAAGTGTCTGAATACTTGTTTCTCCTCATTGTATAAACTCAGAAGAGACAAGAAGGTCCACTGCTGGTTTTGGATAGTACATAAAAAGGTTATATTTGTGTGGCAGACATTGTGAGCCCCGGTTCCTATCAACACCACTGCAAGTTTCTCTGTAATTAACCATTTCACACCAAACCACTTTGAATGACTTTGTTTACATCTTAATGATTGAACCACATATTGAAGGGTTCTTCAGGGAACCGTCTGATATTGCTCCAACACACCACTTTTGGCACCTTCATCTTGCTTTGCAAGCAGCATTAGTTTCTGTAGAAGCTTTTCTAGAGCGGATCCTGAGCATGACCGGACATATACGACTCTTAAAGCCTTGAAGGCAGCATTCACGTGCAAAGCTATGAGAAAGATAGCTGAAGGACTTTGGCAGAGAGAAAAAAAAACAAGTAAGGAAACATTTTTACAGATAGCATGAAAGTCATTCCTTAGATAGTGAGCAGAGTCAGCCAAACACACCAGTCAGCTGCGACCTACAGCCTAAATGTGTGAATTACAGAGACGTGACTAGACACAAAGAGCTCACAGCATCTTGAACAGATTACATAACACAGAATGGCTATCTACTTAAGTAAGTGAGGAAAACATATTGCCTCAATCTTGTGTAGTCAAACAGAATGAAAACTGAAATCAATAAAATGTTTTATTGTAGACAACAGTGTATGAAAAAGTACATGATTAAATAAAACCATCAAAATACAAAAAAAGCAATAACTTTTGAACATTCAGACATCGTAAACAAGCTTGTGATCACAACTCGGGCTTTGTTTGGACACATCCAAATACAACAGCTTCTGTTTTGCACAGTTCACATATCTGATATGTAGTTAGTACCTATGTTGAATTAAGTTAAGAAAATAAATCCACAAAATTCCAAATTCTTCCATTCCAATTCTCCCAGTGACACTGCATTCAATTCCAATTTGGACCACATTTATATCTTGAGCAATCGTGTCACGAAGCACTGACATGCTGACTGAGTGTTGAAACCAAATCAGGTCATCTAAACACAGCATACTGACCTGACATTCTGCAAACAAACACCTTCATTTTAATGGGAACACTGTAGAAAGTTTTTAAGAGTTGTGTAGAGCAAATTAACCCAATATTTAGGTTTGTTGTGTCATTTGCACTAGGCATGTCAATTAAAACACAATGTTCAAAACAAAAAAAAAACTGCTACAGTGTTTTACAGTAGACATTTATGTTGTTACAGAATATTTTTGATACTGAATAATGCAAAAATACTGTATTTGAAACATAAGACACTACTTTTTATGGTGTCTTTAAAGTGTAAACAACACTTCTTGTTCATCAAGCATGAGCAACTTTCATTTTGTTTGTTGGCGTTCGTGGGGTCATTTGCACTGGGCATATCCATCAAAAAGAGTAAATACAAAAATATGTACACTATATGTCCAAAAAGTCTGTAGACACCTGCTTGTCCAGCATTTCTTCTGAAATCAAGAGCATAACTAGGGAGTTTGTTCCCCTTTGCTGCAGTAACATCCTCTACTCTTCCGAGAAGGCTTTACACTAGATGTTGGAACATTGCTGTGGGGATTTGACTGCATTCAGCCACAAGAGCATTAGTGAGGTCAGGTACTGACGTTGGATGATTAGTTCTGGATCACACAGTCCAGTTCCATTGCACCTCTGCATTCTGTTGGCTGTTGTATGTTTTTCTATGGAGATTATAGAATCTGACAACTGAACGCTTGTGTCAGCAGTGGGTGCACCTTAGCAGCTAAATTCACTCATTCGAAAGATTGTCTGGATACTTTTGGGACATACAGTGTACCATCCACTTTTACAGCAGACATTTAATTTTTTTTGACACTGAATAACGCAATCAGACTCTTCATTTGTCTTTGAACATTTACCTGGCTCGTAAACCTTTGCTTCATAACTTCAGCAGCTAAACTGTCCCAGTGTTTGGGTTATGGTCCATTATATTGTCTCTGACGTCCTTCAGGCACTGCCGGAACTCTTAAACAGTACTTGGCGGATGGCCTACGGGCGCTGAGCCAGCCTGCTCTTGCCCTCCTCCTGCTCAGCCAATTTGAAGTGTGTGTATGCGAGGATGCCGCTGAGCGTGCAGAGGATGCCCAGGCCCTGGTGCAGAGAGAGCGGGTCGTGGAACAGCACATATCCCCCCAGCAAAGTGATGCAGAACTTAAAGTGTCCAAACATGTTGTAGCTGAAAAGTTTAGGGTTAAAGAGCAATAACACAACCTCATTAGACATATACAGACTCAAGGGCCAGACAAAAGCTTCTATTACAAGCCTAAATGAAGGAAAAGTCGCTGCAACCTACAGGCCAGGGGGGTATATATCACAAAGCAGGACTGGGCTGCACAGGTTTTTGCATTGTACTTACATTTGTACATAAAGTCTTTACTAAGTACTTAGTTAACATTGGTTAGTTTCAAACTATCCTTTTGCTAAATTTGGTTGCACCACCAATCAGTAAATCTAATCTTAGCTATCATGGTTCTCTTTTTATGACTAAATGGTTCTTTACACAGTGAAAAAGTTCTTTATACTGATGTGCTGTAGATGGTTTAAGAAAGGGTTCTATATAGCATCAAAAAGGTTTCTTTAATTATTACAATGTCAAGCCTGTAACAATAGAAGAACTTTTTTTGTGCTATATAGAACCATTTTCTTTACTGAAGAACCCTTGAAGAACCATCATTTTTAAGTGTGTAGGCAAGGCTCCAGACTAACGCTGTCTTGTCATCTAAAGGACGATTAAAATAGCGTGCAGCACGAAGTTGAAATAATTTTTTCATCAAATTTCTACCACAAGCAGAATGCTAATTTCTATTAGCCTGTCAATGGGAATTCCCATGTTATATTAGCATCAAGCCTACGATTACGTTAGTTCCTATTTAACATGTGCTAAGCAATAGAAGCCCGAAGCAGAGATTTAAGTATGACTTTCTTAGTTTGCTTGTTTGAGTTTTACAGTCTTACTGGAATCTTTTGAATATGGTATTTATGATAATTAATATGATATTTAACTCATATTCATTTAACCCTTTCAGACTAAACCATGTTACATTATGCTCAATATATGTATGGGAGCCTAGATCAGGGTTTTTTTTTCATGACTTTTATAAAGTTTTTATATTTCCAACTTTTCCAATTTTGGATGGCGGCGCACTCACAAAATATTTCCCTGTTTGTGCAAGCCCTCCTGTCATTCCTGAAACAAAGCACAGACAAATTTGTGAAAGACAACGTATACCTTTCGCATTAGCTTGTAATTTTAATACTGCTCAATTCAGGCAAATCTTGTCGTCTACATGGTTATATATATTTTGAAATGTGACATTCTGGTATGATCTGGGTGGAGTTTGCGTCAATAATATTTGTTCACAAAAATCACTCCACAGCTCTGTATGTGATGTCCTTCATATTAACTCTGACAGAACTGACCAGCTGCCCCCACACAAACTACATTTCACTAGTTGGCTGGACTCCGAACCGCTCACAAATGTCTTCTCCTTATCCCTAAATAAACACATCATACCTGACAGAGAGCCCTTTACTTTGTGCTTTTCTGTGTCAAACCACACTGTTTGAATCTCCATGGTAACAGCGACGTCCCTGATTGGTGGAATTTGCTGGAACTGTGAAATCAGACTGACCTGTGGCTTTAACTAAAGTTCTTATATCATCACTTCACAATCTCATAGCACATAGTAAGTCTACGTTGGCTGGATAATGAATGGGATTTTTACTTCCGGAACCAGACTGTTCAGCCCTATTACTGTTTACTAGCTATTTCTGATGCCCACTACAATGCACACTGGTTCTGAAGAGCAGCAACATTCCAATATTATTATATAATAATTTGTTTTGCATTTCAAGAACGCAGTTCATGACAATAAACTGATGTTTTAAAAATGACATGTTTAGTGTCAAAGCTTTTGACTCATTCTTTTATAGACACTGTATACATATAAAAGTATTTATGTACCATGCATGTGTTCGTATGCATTGTGTGTCTATACATATGTGAGTCTGCATGTGTGTTAAGCATGTATTCTGTAAAGTGCTGTCCGACACTGACATGCTAACTATGGCAGATAGAGATTAGGTTGTAAACCACTGGAGTACTCCTTTAAGCCCAAAGTCAAGCCTGTACAGCTTGATAAGAGATAAGTGGCATTTCTACTGGGTAATCCTCACTTTGGGCTAAATTTATCCAGCTAAGACATCCTCCTGTGTGAACAACTCCCCACTTCAGGACACTACACAGCACAGCAAGTTTAAATTAACATAGAATTGTCTAAAACACAGGGACTGGTACATTTTGTACACTCCATAACATTAATAAATCTAGATCTACATGCATTGCACATGTTTAAGGATAATGTACTGGCTGCCTGTGCCTTTAATAATTCTACAATGAGGTTCTTTTACTGGACCTTCATACATTTCAGAATGTCTGACAGACTATGTGGATCGTCAGGTATTTCAAGGATGAAGTACAAAATGCAGCCTTCTGTTATCATTATACTTTTTATTATTTTTTTTACTTTTATTAAAGTCTTTTATTAACATTATTTTTTGCCATGCACTGTTTCACTATTTTATTTATAAATCATTGCTGTCAGAACAAAACCGTGTATCTCCATTTTTACCATATATATTCAAAAACAGCTGCTGTTTAAACTGTGTCAAAATTTTATGACAAACGGACCAACAGAAATAGTCTAAAATCACTCTGAATAAAAACTAGTTACATTTACTTACACTGAAAGTTAATGTTTTTTGATTCTCCTGCAAAGTTGCATATTTCGCTGTTTTTATGCTATATAAATTAGGAAGTTGTTGCCTGTTATTATTATTATTATTATTATTATTATTATTATTATTATTACCTTGGGTAGTCATGTTCCTTTTACATCAGCTGATTTAAAAGAAGCTATCTATTCAGCTATGGCAGGCCACTGTAGCCAGCTTATGCTCTCTGAAATCACTGGAAGCAGATTGATGTAAGCAGGACGCCCTCTACTGGTCAAACTAGGAAAAGTTCTGAGGACAGGAAAGCAACAGCTTTAGTTTGGAAAAACGCTGATGGATGGGGTTGCAGACAGACCCCTGTGAACTAGAACAAACAGGCAGTAACAAAAAAACAACAACACACATTTAAGTTTGCAAGAACGCTATTTCTTGTGCTTGTTTGCTGGTTATAATAGTAGTACTTTGAAGTACTATAAGTAGTATGAAGCAAGGCATAATCATCAAGACCAAATGGAGTTTGCAAATCTATAACGGACTTTTAAGAGGTGCTGGAACTTAGATATTCTATTACGCTATCTATTTAATAGTACTTCTGGGTCAAAGAAACAGAAATGGCATTACACTGTAAAGTTCAAATCTCTCAAAGTAACAGAGTTAGACCACTATGAATACATTACCCGTGTTCTTAGGCTTCATATTACTGTCACCAACTGCACTGGTTTGAATAATTCAATAGTCCTTATGTTATTTGCAGTCTGAACAAATATTATGGGTGCAGCTTTTCAGTCATAAGGCATATTCACATCTAGTTTTGAAAACGAAACACATGCATTTTAATGCTCTTTCTCATCAAGTCTGAAACTTGCACACTGCAACGATTTTAAGGATGTATTAAAAAAAACAGGCTGACTGATCAGGGTTCTGCTACTGTTACAATATCAAGCTTGTAACAACAGAAGAACCCTTTCTGTGCTATATAGAGTCATTTTCAAAAAACATATACAGCACATTTTCCATCAATCTAAAGAAGGATGCATAGAACCCTTAAAGCATGCAGATGGTACTTTGCACATTCAGGATTCTACATAGAACCAAGGGGGGCTTATTCACCAACTGTGCTTAAGAAGAAATTTTTCTTAAAACCCACTTATGCAGTTTTCGTGAAGATTCTGATATTCACCAGTGTATTCTTGTTTGGGAATTGTTCTTGGGTAAGAACAGAATCTAAACACACTCAAGAGCACAAAGATGGAGACAACTCTGCAGTTTAAGAACACATCATGAATCTGACAGTGACTTTTTCTTAGGACCTTTCTCAAGAACAAATTTAAGAAAAAAGGAAGATATAGGTGAATGAGGCCCATTGTCTTTACCAAAGAACCCTTGAAGAACCATCTTTAAGAGTGTAGGTATATTCTAGTCTGTTCATGGTTCGCTACTACTTGAAAAACTCATTTCTTCTCTTGCATTCTTCCACAAGAATGTTTACACATTGGACATGAAGTAAAGGTTCCACTACTTCAAAAACTGCATAGTTTTCTTTTGTCCAAAAAGAACTTGGTGTGATGTGGCATTAACCCACAATACAGATTTTACCACACTGTGGATGCCACCAACTTCTACCAAAGGTTCAGCATATGGTTATTTAAACACAAAACTGTTTGGCAGCAAGGAACACACTTTCAGAACGGCCAACAAACAAGACCAGTCTGATCATTCAGAAGGAAAGGATACGTGACTGGAGAGGTGTTCCCAATGATCCAGTATATGGACAGGTTCACAAGGAACGCGATAACCCCCGACAGAAAAACCATCGTCTAGAAGAAGAGGTAAAGAAGAAAAAAGGTGTTCAAACATCCAAACCAGACTCCCACTCTGACCTTTGCTTGTGTGCCTTAAAAGGCCCATTTTATCCTTTGTGAAGTCGTAGGAGCACATTCATTTTACATACCCAAAACAGTCAAACAGTCATAAGGGCTTGTTCTCCCCTCACATTCCCTTCATGAAACACATGAAATACTGGGGAGCTAACCGCTAATGCTAAAACCTTTTTTCACCTGGTCCCCAAAGGTTTAGGTGGCGAAAAAAAAACAATCACCCCTTTGTGGTTATAAAGCTGGTATAGCAGGCTTATTGTTAGCCACTTAGCTCCCCAGTGATTTTTTTCACCCAGTGCCAGAAGGGTAAGAGGAAAAAAGGTTAACCCCCCGGCTGGTCAAAGCTGGACCAACCTGCTAAGTGTTAGCCAGGTTTTTTGATTTTCATACATTACCCGTCAACTCAGTAGTGGAGAAAAACTTTTTGACGGCTGAAGTTGTACATGTGATGCTAATGTTTTTTTTTTCAGGTAGAAAAATAAATGAAGTGGATCTCTGGAACTCTTTTTACATTTTTTTACATTCTTTAAAGTGTTTTAACCAATTTTAACAATGTTTAACACAATATATATCAAACTCATTCCAGAAATGCAAGTCAAATTTGTTTTTCCATGATAAGCGGCTTTTAAAGCAAGCATGAAGCGCAGATTTAAGAGTGAAGGTAATGCTTCTCAAAATAGTGCACACGCATAGTGTTCTGAGGGGGCAGCTAACATAGGCTTCTCTGTTACAACCGGGTGTGCAAGTGCGTTCAGGAATTTCCTGTGGCTAAGCCAGTAGAGGTGTGTCTGCCCAGTCAAACAGAGACGCTCTCACACCCACTCACTCACCACAGCCTGTATGGACCAGGGGCCGAAGATGCCCCCCTCTCCAGTGAGCGGCTCGAAAAAGGGGACGATCATGAGGAGGAAAGCGGAGGACATCGGGGCCTGGTAATACAGCAACTGCATGGAGTTCACCTGCAACTCATGCTGCTTCGCACCCACCCACTAAAATGGAGGCAGAGGAAAGAATTAGCTCCACCAACCAGAACTACTTCTCACACAACAGAGCACTGATTTGACCTAGCCATGTTTAAATGTGTCCTTTTGTAGCTACTTTTGCAACACTGGGCAAGCTTTACAGAATGATGCTGGAATGTGACCTTTCATGTTCATACTCAATAAATACCATATGATGTTAAAGGGAAAATCCACCAAAGTTTCTCAAAGTTTACAAAATTCCTGTGTAATTCAGTGGTTGAGATGTAAATAAAGTCTTTGAGTGGTTTGATGTGAAATGGTTCATTGTAAAGAAACATACTGACTTATATTTCTTTAAAGTGGTCATGATAGGAACCAGGAGTCAAGATGTCTACAATGCAAGTATAGGCATTGAATAGTAAAATACAGTAGGTTCACAAGCAGCGTTCCCATCAAAGCACTCTGAATGACTTAATCTTAACAATTTAATTACATAGAAAAAATGAAAAATAAATGGAATTCCGCTTTAATAACACAGGTACTTTTTAGGTGGGTAACTTTTTAAAAATTTTAGGGGGTTTTGCCAGTGTTCCACACCTTTCAACAATTGTTATGAAAGAACATGTTTTTTTGGGCACAGCATAGATTGTTCAAACCCTCAAACGGCCAGGACCTAATTGTGGCTCCACACGTTCGTTAGACACAACTAACATAAAAGGGAATTCCATTAATTTTTCAACATTCTGCATAATTGAATCACTGAGACATAGACATAGGCCATCCCGAGTGTTTTGATGTGAAATGGTTCATTGTAACTTCACAATGAACTCAGATTTCTTTGGTGATGATAGGAAGCAGAGGTTGTGATGTCTACAACACAAATTCAGCCATTTTACTTACTAGATAACCTACATGTGTATAGGTTTTTGTATGAAATATTGATAGCAATAAATTAGTGGAAAAAATAAGCTTTTTTGTGACTATTTTGCCCTGCATCTATCTCTCTACCATGAACGGATTTAAAAAAGGTGTTTTAGGCCAAACCCTTCTAAAAGCTATTGTAAAACAATTTCTCAGATATCATTCAGTTTATTCATAACCATTTCAAGTTACGGTTTTCTGCGAAGGTGCTTTTGGTTCCTATCACCACCACTGTGAACAATTCTGACTCTATAAGTTTCTCTAGAAAGGAGCATTTCACATCAAACCACTTTTGAAAAACTGGTGGAATTCCCCTTGAAGAATAACTCAGTCGTTTCGCATTGTTGTCCATGTAATAACTGGGCCTTTTATAAAGTAAGTTCAAGATGTAATCATTTTAAAGGATTTTAAAGGCTTAAGGTGTTGCCGTACCTGTGCTCACCACAAGGACGCACACGACACAATTATATTTTACTACCTCATTTCTCTGAATGTTTCTGTGCATCCTGTTATGTTAGATATACAGACACAAATTCACACCCAGAACTAACAACATTATACACAACAAACATTAGCTGCAATGATCTGTCACCAATGATGTTGCACACAAAATAACACAAGCAATATTTGCTTAAAAACAGAAGCCATCTAAAATTCTCTATTAAGTTCTAAGGGTCCCTTCTCTTTATTATTATTATTATTATTATTATTATTATTATCATCATCATCATCATCACCACCATCATCATCATCACCACCACCATCATCATCATTATTATTATTACTACTACTACTACTACTACTACTACTAATAATAATCTTAATATTAATAATAACAACAATAACAGTAAGTCAAAAAGAGCACTCTATAATGTTTGTATGGTGTATTTTACGTCAGATCGTAATGCACTACAGAAAGTGTACAGGTCAAAACGGCTGCTATTGTTCCGCAGACACAACTTGTTGCGGTGCTGGAACTTTAAACGATGGAGGCAGCAAAGTGAAGAACACATAATAGTTTAATTAAGAAGACACAACAGTTAGATTAGTTGAAATCATTAGCTGAAGCTCCACTAGCAAATCTCTCTCTACACTCTACACCCTCTAGAGGCCTCATCACAGTTACACTTGCTTTCTAATTCCCCTGCCGTGTCAAGAACGAAGGTGTGTTTGAAACCATGAGAAATAAAATAAGTTAAAGTATAACCCCTTTGTGACAGCAGTGCGAATGCAATTCACTAGCAATGTGCAAGTAACGATTTTTACACTGATGATAATAACAGTGGTCAGAGAGTCACCAGAGTGCACAATCCTTAATCAGTAACATGTTTTACTAAAATGCTACAAAAGTCACACTTTGCCAGTTTCAACACAGTCATTCTTTCACTAACATACCACTTACCACTTGGTACAGCGATGTGACGAAAACTCCCAGTGTCGCGAAAACAATGCCCAGCAAATTAAACTTCACGTCATAATAGGAGTTCAGTATGACCCCCAGAGTGATTGGCACCTGTTAAAGGACAAATACATATTAAACCAACCTCTCTGGCCACTTTATTAGAAACACCTACCTTCTACTTTCTCTCACTGGTCACTTTATTAGATACTCCTATCTAGGGCTGGGCAATAAGACAACATATTTCGTTATCGTGAAAAATGATTTCACAATACAATACAATGTGCTTTCCTGAACATATCATGGAAATCGTCAGTACTTGTAGAACACTGACCAACTGCTTGTTTCATTATAAAGACAGCAAAATTAGTCCCATTTAACTGGATTTAGTGCAACATATTGAATAAACAATTGTATTCACAGTTGTTGATAGGTTTAAGTAGCACTACTAGTTCTTCTTCTCTGTTCCAACTGATCAGATGTCTGAAAAAATAAATATTGTGACATATTGTCCACCTCTACTCCTGCCCTGTACTTCCACTCACTGGCTACTTAAGGAGGTCCACCTACCTTATAGTTCCTCTACCTAAGTGTAGAAATACAGACTGTAGTTCATCTGCTCTACAACGGTCAGTTTCTAGGCCTGCTGCTGTCCAGACATCATTTGGATGGTGGATCATGTTCAGCACAGCAGTGACTCTGCCATGGCAGTGTACGTGTGTTGTAGGCACGAGTGTATCAGACACAGCTGCGCCACTGCTATGTTGAGAGTGGACCACAACCTAAAAACATCCAGCCAATGGCAGCTCTATGGTCAGAAACTGACCATTAATGAAGGACTAGAGAACGACTAACACATAAGGCCTACAGTCTCCAACTGTACACCAGCAAAGGGGAACTACAGGAGAAGAGTTTCTAATAAAGTGGACGATACATGCAGCCGTAGCCGTGTAATAATACTGAATAGACATGAACCCAACCAGTCAGCGTGGAGCGGAAAGAGCTGTCGGGTAAAGTTTCACACACTGATTTGTTCAGATTCACGTCCGGCTACTCACCAAAGTCAGTTTAATCTTCAGGGAAAAGGTTTTTCTGTAGTAGATGGTCTGGATGACGATAATAACAGGAGTGGTCATGGCTTTGGCCAGCTGGTAGGTGCCTATAGTGTTGTTTTGGAGGGACAGATTAGTGAAAGCGACGAATCCACAGAAGCTCAGAGCCAGCAGAATGATTTTGGTGGGTCTGAGATTTTTCGGAGAGAAAATGTCCATCTTGTGGCACACAAACAGACCGAGCCAGGTCACCACGAAGTGAACCAGGGTCAGGGTCATGTTGGGGAAGCCGTAGTGGACGTAGATCCATTTGTTCAGAAAGACGATGCAGATAGAGGAGAGTAAATTCACCAGCAGTCCAGTGGCGATGCGGCTGTTCTCAAACAGTCGAACAGGCATGGCGCAAAACTCGCCTTTAATAAACTTTCAGAGGCGATTCTGGACCGAATATGTTACGAAGGAGCCCTCTATGAAGGGCATGAGCGGTTTCCAGATGATCAGTCCACAAGGAGCAGCTGTAGAGTCCTGATTTCATCGCAGGTTTCCCTCAGTTGATGAGCCGGTTTTGCGCTGCCCGCCGCTGATGGACAACTTTCAACAAGACGCAGCACGCTTGACGTCAGTAAGGCGCCGCTTCGGAGGAGGACTCCGGCGCCGCGCTGCCACGTCACTGCGCCCTTCCGCCACCGAGTGGCACAAACGAGCATAGACAGAGCCCGTTAAGGGGAACCTGGCCACGTCTCATCTCCCCAGTTACATCAGACACATGACCACAAAACACCAGAGAGCGCCCGCCAAAGAGCTCTAAATGAATGGGGGTGAATAGAGCTAAACATAAAAATTAATCAAACCACTTCGCCCAGGAAGGAAAACTCACCCCCGTATTTCCTCTTTTCTACAGCAAACAGGTTTAGGGACCTAGGACACTAGCGTTACTGTTACTGAGTGCTGATTGGTTGATTAGCATTGCTGCTACTGGGTGCTGATTGGTTGGCATTACTGCTACCGAGTAATGATTGGTGGGCTGTTTCATACACGTGTGACATCACACCTCACAATCTAAGAGAGAATAACCATTTTACCCAGAGTCACTTATGGTGCTTTTCTTGCTAGTACAGTAAGTAGGTGTACTGTACCCTTCTTAAACTCAAATTTCAATCCTTAAACTTGTCCTGACAAAAACCGTTACATAAACACCACGGACATCACACAGGCCTTTGAAAAGCTGGTGAGAGAAAACGTTGAGCAACAATGCAACAACACGTGATAAAATGGCAAGCTTGTAGCACATCCAGTGTTTTGTTTGCTTCTACAAAAAGGCATCCAGAAAGTTCACAAACCATTAACAAATCTTTATTGGAATACAAAATAGAAAACAAATCTCATTCTTTTAAACATAAGAAACAGAAAGAGAGTGAGAAGTGGTGTTTAGGATTGAAGCTCATAGCCAAGAGGATCCAGTCCTTTATCTAACAGCAGCAGAGACGACTCCCTCATCTTCTGAAGAAATTTCTGCAGCTCGTCCTTAGAGAACACCTATGAAACACACAGTTTGGTTGAGGCTGAGATAAAGACTTTTTTTGTTAGCTACATTACAGACGTACTAAAAAAAAAAGATTTGCTAGTCTTAAAGTAATAGTTCAGTTTCCCTCTTAGCCCAAATGTAGTTGATTAGACAACATATGTTTGGTGTCTAAAGTAATTGAAGCTTCTACCACACCAATCAGCACACTGGCTCAGACAGTGTTGAACAGTAAAGTCATCTCTAATAGACTTGCTTATATGGTTTCTGACACTGCATGACATACTGTTGTCTATAAACTTGGACAAAATAAAATGTCTGCTGCTACTGTTTTTGGCTACGCCTTTGTAAAACAGATGGAAAGCATTCTGTAAGTAAAGTTTGCATTTAGAACAGCGGTCTCAACTACCAGCCCACGAGACAGCTTCATACGGCCCGTAACATATTTACAATTTATACTTAAACTCGGTCCAAAATTATTTGTTAGCTAAATTTTACATCTGATGTGTAGATTTGCTTCACCACCAGATACTGTGGTTGGTTACCTCACATAAAATGTCCAAAGTGTATTAAATCAGCTTAGGCTAATGCTTACATTATTAAAAGCACAAATAAAGCACTGCACTCAAGAGGAACTCAAATGACAAGCTGATACAATGAAAGCTGCACACTGAGCAGGCTTAACTGTAATTCAGCTATAACTAACTATTATCCTAATTTAGATTACTAATTAGTTAAATCTGCCTTTGTAGATTCATTTATGACAGAGCAGTAGATACGGCATGTCTGAATTAATAAATGAATGGAATTATCATACAAATCGACTTTATGTATGTATATATGTAATTTATGTATGTATATATGTGATGCTTTATGTATTGGTACTTTGAACAGCAACAACAACAACAACCACAGTTATAGTTTTTGTAATGGCAGAATACTTGTTAATGCCAGTTGCTTTTTCTTGTAAATAGTAACTGTTTTTAATCATCTTGTCAGAGGCAACCAAGCAACATATAGAAGTTTGTTGTCCTCGCATACAAGCTTGTTTCCACTACAGTGAATATCTAAAACAGAGAGGTTAGAGAAAACAGGCCAGTGTGTAGAAGACAGGCGAGCAGAGGGAGAAGAGGACATGAGGAAAGGACAGAAAAGAAAGTAGAGACTGACCTCATATAGCCTGTGCTGGTCAGAGGCAATGATGTCAGCAAGGCGGAGGCTCTCCTGGTGCCGCTCCGTCCGCTGCAGAACCGTCAGCAGCAGAAACGTCATCATTGGTAAACACAAACGCCGCAAAAGAGCCATCTGGATAGAGCGCTCAGAGTCTTCTTCAGCATCCTGAGAATAAACACATGCAAACAATATGTTTTGGACTTTTACCAGGTTTCTGAAAACATCTGATCTACAAATGTACAGTTATAACTAATGATAATTTCTAAAAACTATTTATCTATTGTATATTATTTGATTAATAAACTAAACATTACACCTACTTCAGCTTCTTACTTTGCCACCACCACTATTATGTTTGTGTAGCAGTTTCTTTTTCATGGTGCAACAAAACAATAGAAGCCTCTGCACTTTTTTATTGTATTACAGTTTGTTGAAATGACTGCATGGTTCACCAAAAAAGGGTTCTGCTATTGTTATGATGTCAAGCTTCTAACAGTAGAAAAACCTTTTATGGTACTATACAGAACCATTCTCAAAAAGGTTCTACATAGAACCATATACAACACATTCTCCATCAATCTGAAGAACAATTTCATCATGAAAAGAACCATTTAAGCATACACATGGTTCTATACAAAACTCATAGCTCTAAACAGAACCACTGCCTTTACCAAAAAATACCCTGAAGAACCATCTTTTTTAAGCATGCAAAACACTGACTACGAAATGATGCCTGATTTCAGAGGTCTATTACAGAGCACATAGCTTTTTAGAATGAAACAGTAGCAGTATTACTGTATGTCAGAATGACTGTGTGGATCATCATCTAAGGATGTATTATAGTGTTTATCTCACATCTCTGACATCCACCATCCAGCCGCCATCCACAAACAACAGAACGTTGTAGATCCTTTCCTTCACCTCCTCTGTCAGAGCATCCAGCCTACCTTTCCAGTTCTCATACTCCAACTGTGAGAGAGAGAACAATGAAAAAATAATATTTAATAGCACTTAATTGCATGCAAATGTTTGCTTTCTCCAAACATTATTTCATGCATTTTTCTATCAATTGAACATAAAGACACAAACATGCTTACTTATGCAAACATATTTTAAACATGGTAAATTTCTCAAATGTAGGGGAAAACAAGATTAGCTCTATTACAAACCAATAACAGCCTGTCATTAACCATTAAATGCAATGTGTGCCTTAAAATGACAGTATTTCTAGCTAACTCTGTTTTACATTCAGTAATTTGGGACTGCCTACACTGGAGTAGGGCTGCACTATAAATTGTACTTTATAATTAAAAATAAATAGATAAAAAGTGCCATAGTAACGTAATTAGACTAGCGGAAAGTAGGGTTTGAAGCCCAACAAGTGCTTCCTTGTGGTGGGCTTAAACCTTGTTCTCCCACATGGAGAGCAAGTAACTAAACCTTTCAGCTAAATTGCCAGTTACAAAATCCAGCTCAAAAATATCCTGAACTACTAACCTGTAAAAATGCTTAAAACATGATACATGATGACTATTGTCATTCTCAGTGTTATCAGCTGAGCTCTGCATCACTGACACTGTGTGTCTTTGTTAAGCCTTACAATGCATGAAAATGTGCTTCCAGTTCTGATGTAAGCAGCTATTAGTATCTCACTATTGTTATTTTGCCTTGAACTGTCCTTTTTTCTGACAACAGTGTACATTATGTAGGATGAATGTGATGATGGTGGATACCGCTGACCTTGTACTCTTTCTCCTTCATCTCAAAGGCCACCTTCTCAGTGAACTTGGCCTGCGCTGGCATGGTGGGCTGTACGGGAGGAGAGTTCATGTGCCTGAACCACTCATTAAAGGCCTCATGAGCCTCCTGATAAAATACACACACATATAACATACACCATAAATGCAGCTTGAGGGCCTCACTTAAATTACTTGAAGACCAGAAGAAACGAACATTTTTTACAATATAAACTTAGTACAGAAATACAGGATTCACTGTAGGGCTTCAACTAAAAATTATTTCCAAAATCAGTTAATCTACTTATTATTTTATTAATTAACTAAATGAACCATTACACCTTACAACAAGCAATTTCCTTCTTTTACAGTGTAACAAAGCAATATAAGCCATAGTAGCCATAGTGTATTACAATCTGTCAGAATAAGTGATCATATGAACATTACAGGGTATTATAAAGTCCTTTTAAATTAAACATTAGAAGCCAGATCACCCCTACACTTCCTTTAGTGTATTACAATCTCTCAGAATGCCCATATGGATCATGTGAATGCTAAATATTAATAATTTTTGTTTCAAGTAACTTTTTTCTTTAAACAACACTGATGACAACATATACATTTTCATGAATAATCACTGGATCTCTTGATTTGTCACACTGAGCAACAATTCAGTGTAGAGAGGGAGCAAGCCTTCTCACCAGGTAGGCCCGGATACAGAGGTGTTCACGAATGGCATTCTCCTCCTCAGCAGGAGCCGCCGTGTTCATTCCTTGCTCCTCCCACTGACGGTAGATTTCCCTAATGGAATCTTCTGGAACTTTGGCAAAGACCAGCTTAGCAGCCTCATGTTTCTTAGAGGCTGGAAGGGAGAGATCAGACACTAGATCAGAAACAGTGCTGCAATGAGAGTGAAACAATACAACACAAAAAAATGTTTAAATTTAAAAACTCTTTTTCCCAGCATAATAATGCTGATAAACAACGAAGGACAGACTGAAAACGTAACAGGTTCTAGGTTTCTTTGATGCATTTATGGTCTTTGTAATTTTATCATTTCTTTTTGAAAAAGTCTTTGTTCATTTCATAAGTCTTGTGTTAAATATCTGTGTTTAAACAGTTTGCGCATGTACTATGGCTGCAAAGCAAGAAAAGACAGAATGAATGAAAAATAAATAAAATAAAAGAACGTACTAGTTTACATGGCATCGAGGAGAGCCGGTCTGATTGGCACACCCTATCATGACTTTGTTCTTGGTTATCCACTACAACAACATGACTGAATTGTACTCATGCTACTCTTCCCAAAATGGAAGAGATGAGTCCATATCTAAAGTTTTGTTAATGCTTTGTACAGTAAAACTACAGAACAGACATGTACTATAGAAACTACAGAGTAGATTTAAAGTGCTGCTATTAGTCTATAAATAACAAGAGGTCCAGAATATATTTCTGATACGCTTAAAGAATATATACCGTAGACCTCCAAGTCAGAGAGTAGCACCTAGGATCCATGAGCATCATGAGCATCAGCTATTTACACTTGCATTAATGTGTGTTTCATGTTTGGATCCTATCTGAATATACAGTATAATAATAACAATAATAATAATAATAATAATAATAATAATAATAAAAAGAGACCACCTACAAAACACTTACTTAAAACAGCCAGTGCAAATTATTCATTTTTTCAGGAGATATTTCTGAGAAGAGTGGATATCAAATAATCCACTTGCACAAAGAAGAGGAAAATAAAAGAAATGTGGAAAAAACAGGAATTTACAAAACTGAAGTACTAAAAGATAAAGAGATGATAAAGTGTACTGTACAAGACTTTGTAGACCACCAAAACATAAGTAAACAGTACTTAAAGTTTTCATCTTTGAGAGAGAGGAGAAAATCAAACTCCACTCTTACTTCAGATCTAAAAAATCCACAGGTGTTTGTCCATCCTTCCACTGTGAGATGACAACTCAACACTGTGGGTCTGTATTGACGTGTAGCTGTCAAGAAACTATGGGTCTGAAATGATGTGTAGCTGTCAAAAAGCTACCACCCCAGAGAGCAGACCACAACATCATGTGTATAGGATGACTTGGATCATGAGAAGCAGAAAATGCAACCAAACAAGACAGAAAAATATCCCTGCAGATTTCTTTGCGAAACTGAGGTCTCCCACTTTTTGCATGACGCTTAAAACTGAATAACATGAATTTCTGTCAAAACGAGTGGGGTGTAATTTATTATTGTCATACTTTCTGGTTTTCATAATTTGCAGTGTTGTCTCAGTCGCTATTCTTTATTACCAAGTTGCAGTACTAATGTCTGTATATTTATTTAACATTCTAAGATGGACAGCGCCCTCTCTAAGAAAGAACTTCACCTTCAACTTCATCACGGCAATCTGGTCTCCTGACCCTCTCTTTGTTGGCACAAAACAGCAGTCTCTGACTTTTGCACAGTACTGCAGTGTAATCTGATGAGACCTGATTTTACTTTCCTGTGTAAAAGGAACACCACTACATACACTGTTTGCATTTTACTTCTAGTAAACTGCTGTAAACATGGTTTCTCACCTGCTACTACCAAGTGCAAGTACCAAGGACTCCTAAACACTCTGTCTATTATCAGAAGAAGTCATTTAAAACAGGTAACAGACTGTCTGCACTGGCGGAGGGGACGGCTTTGTCTTGCAGTTTCTGTAATTACTTAATTGTGTTACTGACTAATTTCCGCTTACATAATTGTGTTCAGATACAAAAAACGTATTCCATTTAAGCTTATGTTGAACGTGGTCAAGATCCGTATCAGACCACCTCCAAATATGGTTTGAGCGATGCGATCGTAATCCAAACACAATGCATCCTGGGTGTGTTTATGCTTGTCTTTACATTTGGTCAAGTGAAATCCGAAACTGATTCGATCACTGAAAGTGCATATTGATGCAAAGTGTAAACAGCCTCAAAGAGAAAATCACAAAACTTACAAAATTCAATTGGGACAGATCTCTCAACTGGAGTGGACATAAAAGTAGTCACCAATACTTCGAAACGATAGGCCGCAACAATCTACAGTTGCAGTTCAACCACTGACTTCTGACTACATGCTGAAAACTCTACCACAAATAACAATACTGATAGTCATGTGTGCAGATCCGAAGATGTGGGAAAATAAATATTTGATTTTATTCAGGCTGTGCTGAAGCTCCACCCACCCAAAAATTTCCTCATGATGGCATTACTCTGCTTCAAAGCCTCGGCACGTTGGGCAGGGTCAAACACCAGCCAATCAATGACATCAATTTTCTGCTGATCTTCCTGTGGAGTGAAAAAGAGAAAAAGGCTTTAAGGATTTATATCTTTGTTCATATGTATTTACACACAGACCTGCATGTTTTATAACTCCAAATCCATCTATGGTCTAAAACATAAACCTTTTTTTTAAGCAATCAGGTCAAATTTATAAGCCTCAATCTCACGAAAAGCATGCAGATCTTGTGTTTTTTTTCAGACCTGGTCAACTTAATGCAATAATGAAAGAGCTACAACGTTCTTGGTAACATTCATTTTGACAGTCCTCTATAGAGCTTCCTCAGATGCTTTTATTATTAACTACCTGGTGAATTTCACTTATAGTGTTAGGAATAGGATTAGCATTAGGTTTTGGGCTGATTATGTTTAAAAGGTCTGTATTAATTGTATGTTATATTCAACTTAAAGTTCAGTTGTATTTAATACATATTTAATTGAACGTTTGTTAAAGAAAGCTGAGTATCTACTATGGATAAGTCAGAAATTTCACCTTTTCATGGACGTTTTAAGTCAAAAAGTAAAACAGATGTTTTGGTAATCAATTCAGCTTCTCTGAAACTTTGAGTTGTCTGAACTGTTCTCCACCAGAGGGCAGTGTAAACCCTGCATCTCACATTTTGATCAGCATTAGGGTTGAGGAATATAACGGTAATATGAAATACCGTGAGGAATTTCAAAATTATGACGTGCCCAATTTTCCACTCCATGTCTGAACAGCCAAGTAAACACGTTCTACCCATTTATATTTTAGAGGGGGTTGGGGACTGGTGGTGTCGGAACTCGGGAACCGATAGGTGGTGCTAACAGAAAGAGGGGGGAAAAATGAAAGCCATGAAAAAACTCAGAAAAACTAAGCATTACAAGAGGGGCTAGTGTGTAAAGTTAGTGAGTAAAGAGGAAAGATACAGTGGTTTCATGATACTGATGTTGTAGGTTTTTGAAAAGTATGGTTATATGGGTATAGTTTGATTTCAGCTGACTTCAATCTGAATCCATTAATCAGAATCTTACTTCTCCATGAGGGACTCTTTCTGTTTAGAAATAAGGTGCCTAACTAATAACATATGCTTGATTTAAAAGAACTGAAATAAATGAATTCTAATAATATAAATATTGTAATTACCAATATACACAGTGCCTCTCTGCTTGCAGACCAAAAAAATCTCTTGTATAAGTCCCAGCTCTGTGTGTGAGTGTGTGCGAGTGTGTATGTCTTGTACCGCTGAAGTCCCCGTGTCCAGTGCAGGTGTCAGGTCATGGTGAGAAAATTCCTCACTGTCTCTGTCTCTGATGGCCTCTACCACCGTCTTAGTCACCGCTGCCACATCCAGACCTGAAAAGCGCACACACACGCAAAAACATAAATAAATTTCTCTCTCTCTCTCATGCTGATTCCCTCAGTCGGGAGCTTCACAGTAACTAATCAGAGTTAACATGCTGTCTTAAATGGCCAAGCCTATATTATAGGCTATAATAAAAATGGCAGCTGTTGCAATTTTGATACAGAAACAATTAATCTTCCAACCCTAGACTTGCCTCTGGAACCGAGTTGGCAGAATCAGACTGTTAAAAAAAGTTTTCAAAAATGTTTAAAAAGTGAAATCTTCAAATACCTTCCCAAAAATACAGAAAACATGGAAAGGCTTCTTTTTCTTACTATATTCTAAACTGTGGACCTCAATTCTACCTTTGATACATATGAAAACGTCTCTTTAACTTAGCGTTTAATTAAAATTCTGTGTGTTTTTGGTATTTATCTTTTTGATTTGATCTGTGTCATTGTCTTATAAGATTTTTAATAAATAATAATAGTTTCTTCTGTTAGTGTTAAGCTTTATCCCCTGTCTGTAAAGCACTTTGAGCTGCCACTGGTATGAAAAATCATCATCATCGAGCTCCAATCATTGCATTTTAAAGAAGTAGTATTTAAACCTCCTCCTTTATAGGAATAACTGGTGACAATTTAGTTGGAAGATATGCACAAGGCAAAAATACTGCCTAGAAATTATTTAATCCTTTTTGAATCTAGAGCTTGACGGGTGTATGTATAACTGGAGGAAAAGAAGAATGGAGGAATGAATTCAAAGGGTGGCTGAATAAATTGATGGATAAATGTTATGAAATGACAGACAGATCAACTGATGGATGGAAGAATGGATGGATGGAAAGAAGGACAGATTAATAACCTCAATGAGGGTTGGATGCTTTAACTAATGTAAGAATAAATATCATGAAATGATAAGATTTATTAAATGATATATGGATGGATCCATAAGGGATAAACAGAAGCATGGATGGATGAATGAATGATCTGATGGATACACGGATGGACTAACTGATGGGTGGATGCATTAGTCAGGTGAGTGAAACGATGAATCGATGAACGAGCTGATAGCAGGACGAATGCACGGAATGAAGGACAGGCCGATGCATAACACAGGTAAATAGAAGGATGGACAAATAATTTCACTAAAGGATGGACAGATAAATGCATGAAATGAAGAACGGAAGAATTAATTGATGGCTGGATTGATGATAGATTGACGGGCAAGTATCATGATTACATGGATGGACATAGTACAGTATGTAGTGAATGAATGAAGGAGGTGCTTTCTCTCACCAGCTTGGCTGGCCAGCTCCAGGCAGCGTTTTCGTTGCTCTGTCTCGGTCACTTCCTCGAGGAATCGAGCGTACTGAGTAACAGCTATGTCCGCTGGCAGGTTACTGACATAAAATGCGATCAGCTCCACTTGTTTCTCCTTCACTAATAGAGAGATGTATGCCTTCAACACATCCACACACACCTCCTCCTGAAGGGTGGAGAGAGAGAGAGTGAGAGAGAGAGTGAGAGAGAGAGTGAGAGAGAGAGAGAGAGAGAGAGAGAGAGAAAAGAGACCCTTAAAAACACAATATAATCCAGACCTCTATCTACATATTCTAAAACCTCAAGTCTGAGATTTTCTGATGGTTAGGGTTTGTTTTTAGACCCAGTGTAAAGTGGAGTAAAATCACTGTAGCACATGACCTCAAGGACAATGTCGCTTTTTTACGTAACTGTCAGCTCTGGCGGCACAATTGGATTAGTTAAGAAATGTTTCACTTGTGTTGTTTTTTTTTTCAATAACTTTTTTGTTATAACAGCAAATTTCTTTGCACAATGACTGTATTAATCCGCTGCGCACTGGTTGCCAAGTAATGACTCACTTTATTCTGCAGCTGTTACTATGTTCCTACTTTACCATGCATACAGAAATTGAAAATGGATGTATTAGATAACTTCTAGAACATCCGACCTGCAGCCCATTTGGTCAGATTCTGAAGAAGAGAGCGGTCCAACAAGACATTTACCTTATCAAACAGAGACAGAATAATTTTGGTGTGTGCATACAAGCTCTCTGCTGAATGGCTTCACCTACAGGCCACACGAGAGGCTAATGTCAATTTTAAATTTCTACTGGGTGAGCGTGTTACCGAGAGATGTCTTGACTGACCGCTAAAAGCATTTCTTCTAAAGATTTGTGGCGAAGTGCTAGCTAAGGAATACAAGCTCACTACGTGAATAGATTATTACTTGATTATTCTTCTGCAATTGCCTTAATGTGTATACTGGTGTGAGTGGGGAGGGGGGCTGGATAGCAAAGAGGGGGTCGCGAAATATTTTTAACCTCAAAAAAAAAGATCACACCATAAAAAAAGGTTAAGAACCCCTGTCGGAGAAAACTTTCATAAAAAAGTTTCTTCTTGAATCGTCTACAACTTCTAACATTAATGTGTGCACCTTCAGTTGCATGCCCAGACTGCGGTAGAACAACACCAGGTGTGTCATGAAGCGCAGCAGATGTGCCGGCAACGGCGGACTCCTCCCCAACCAGTCACTGAACTCCTCCAGAAGACCTACAACAAAACACAAACACATTCAAACCCACAAAACATGCCTTAACACTGCACTTTAAACACACATTCCTCCATTCTTACAACATTACCATCCAAATCTCCGAGGATGACAAACTTCTGGATGATGTGGTAGTGCTCCTTGGTTGCCTCCAGAACCCTCTGTCAAACACACAATTAAAAAATATGTGAATATTTACAAGAACAAGCTAAATTACTGACAGCTTGACTATGAAGTAGGACTGCAACTACTAAACATTTTTCTAATATTCTATAAATATTACCTCAGATATTGAAATATTTAAGAAAAGCCCAATCGATGTGATTCGTTTTAATTAATTTATTTTGTATCACTGCATCACTGGTGGTTTGGATAGTGAATAAAATGGCTATATTGGGACACCTGGTTCCCATCACCACCACTGTAAAAATATCGGAGTCGAACCACTCCGAAAAACTGTGGAAGTCCTCTTTAAGACTTACAACTTAGTGGTCAACAGACAACATTTGATGTAATCCTATTATGACACTACTGCAGGATAAATACCATCCATCACACCAACCTTTGACTCAGTAGCTTGTAGCTCCTCAAATACTTTCTCCATTGTCCAACTGAAAAACAATATAATGACAAAGAATCAAATCAAGCCCTACACAGTGTACCTTTAACTCACTCAAACACAAACAGTAATTACAGAGTGCTTTCCAACTCCTTTACTTGCGGCAGAAAGGAATAAGCCTTGTAACACTGGAAAATCTGTGGATCGAGTACAGTCAGCTGAAACACTGGGTTTGGTGGGCTTACATTTACATGGTGCTTGCATATAGACAAGTATGTTGCAATGACACAAAAAAAAAAAAAACCTTCAAGATTTTTGTCTGTACTTTTGTTTTTTTATTGTTATCCGTCATTTATGTGTACAGTGTCAGAAACCACATAAGCAGCAAGCCAATTTAAGATTACTTAACAGTTCGACATGGTTTGAGGTGGGTGTGTGATGATTTAGGCAGTTAGCACCATGCTGACTGATGACTTTAAGCTTACTGTACTTGTTAGCTTCATTAGCCTGGTAGCTCCAGTGCAAACTTCAGACACCAATAAATTCAATAAATTATCCTTTCACAACATTTCAGTGTAGCACAACAGAGTCCAATAAGCTACAGCTCATTTAAATCAGTTTTATCTAAGGAAAAAACGTCTCTTTGCTCATGATTGGATGCTGTCCGCTGGTCCTTACCTGGCCTCCAGGTATTCTCTGGGCAGCTCCTCCAGGTCCTCGTGACTCATTCCTGAGGAACGGAGCTCCTGCTCCAACAAAGAGTCCACCAGAACACGGAAATATGCCCAAACAGTGTCCTCCCACGTCTCACACACAGGCAGCAGCTATGAGGGGAGAGAAACAAAGTAGTTCCATTTACTCAAATACATGTACTTGATTACTGTTATGATGGATTTGACCTTTGGTGAGTATTTTCTAATGATACTTTTACTTCTTCTCAAATATATTAGTGAGTAAATCAAACTACCTTTTACTCTGTTACCTTTTAGTCATTAACATCTAGTTATTAATTCTTTTCTTGTGTTCTGTTATTTTAGACAAAAAGGATCCAAAAAGAGAAGAAGAGTTGAACAAACATCAGTTAATAGATGCTGGATGTAATAAGAATTTCCACTGCAGTTCTAGAAGTTACACAAACACTTCAGCAGTGTTTTGAGTTGCTGCTTTCATAGCAACTTTCTTTTTCTGAAAGGCACTTCGACTGTAGTCATTATTTCACTGCACTAACAATATTTTTCCTAGAGCTTGGGTGTAGGCTACTCTTCACACTACTGGATAAATAAAATAAAAAGAAAAAGGGATGTACAATGATATCGGAATCATACGCAGATGTTTGCTTAAAAAAAATACAACAGCTTTGGGAAGATGTTTACATTTGATCAATATAGATCAATTATACCGATATTTGTGGTAAAATGTCTAAATTGTATTAACTGCATTTGTAGTCCTACAGAAATAAATGTCGTTTTTTCTCTGTAATGCTAATCCACGTAGATGGATTGGTACCAATTTCTACTTTTTACAAAATGTTTATGCATCATCAGCAGCAAGAGTGAAAGAAAGAAATAAACAAACAAAACAATTCGTTCATAAAGTCCCATATAGTGGGTGTTTCTGAAGAGTTACCTGTCGAAGGTTTCCGCTCAGCACAGCATAGATGGCTCTTTCATACCTGTTAAACTGCTCCTGAGCACAAATATCAAATGCACACAAGACAGGTTTCAATCCACATATTTAGGTAAATTTTGACATATTGAATGAATAAATAAACAAATAAAAAAGACTGGATGGACACATAAAATATAGAATTAATTTCTCTGAATTTGTTTGTACGTTTACTTACGGTGGAAAAATGTGATGATGAAATGTGATACATTATGGTGAAAAAACATGAATAATGATCTTTTACACTCTTATGATGTAAATTATGATTAAACAAAAGAGCAAAAAAAAATATGGCTCTTCTATGGAATATTTGACAATTCTGACCCAAATTTTTTTAGCTTATAAAAATATGTAGCTTATAGCTGCTTTTTTCCGCTATTTTGAATAGAGGGGTTAGTGTGTTTGAAAGAACCTCACGAGACTGGACTCTTTATTGCTGGAACTGAGTGAAGTGATTAGTGTTTGGATCTTACCTCCTCTGCCATCCTCCAACAGCACACTTTCCACACACACCTCTGAGGATTCCCTTCCACTGGCTGCAACTCTGCACCACCTGCGCACACGGACACAAACAGGCATTAGACATAGGCTGACTGAGAATAAAACTATAAAAAAGGAACTCAATTCCTAACAGAGCAGTACTCTGCCCAATATTAACTGCCCAACCTTGCATCCTGCAGGCAAAGGGCTTTTAATGATTAACTAAGATTGCCTTTAATAGTCAATAATAACGTTTTTTAATTGCATTTTAAAGGTTTGTATTGGTTTGTGCTTGTAAATTTATGTTTTCCTGACATTTATATTTAACTCATACACAACCCTCTCCCTATTCTGGGGAGTCTGTCAAAGCATTTAAAAGCACAGAAGCCCACCGGCTCTTCACGTAGAAGAAAACCTCGTATCTCCAAAATGGTAACTTCACAGGAGAAGGAAAAAACCTACTTAACTTTTAATGTAAGTCAATGGAACCAGACTTTTTTCTAACTCATTTAGGGTCGTTTCTTTTGATCCATTCATCATGAAATTTACAAACAATGTAATGGGCAACAGGCATTTTCAAATTATGTCAAAAACTGAAAACAACAAAAATTAATACTCCTGAAATTCTACTACACTGAATTTAAGGTCTGTGTAGTCTCTCGTCATTCAAGGCTTCTGTTGCATCTTGCAGGTGAATCATTCACTAAGCACAGCAAACTGAAGGCATTGCACAGCACAGTCACTCCCTGATTCGGTCCTCAAAGTGGCAGTGACTATACAGTGTGATGTCACACGATATTTACAAGAGCTGACCCAAATAATCTGGTTACTCAAGTACTAGTTTGTTATGTTGGTATTTAATTACGCTCTATTGGAATCAAACATGCTGTTAGGAAATGCCTTTGGGAAGTACTGACAATATCCACAATGTGCTCAGAAAAGGAAATTTGGTAACATAGTGTGAAGCAATTTATTATGATAACGATAAATATTGTCATACTGCCCAACCATATGATAAATCATCTCAAATATGTAAGTATAGCAATACTTATCTGAGTACTGTTTGCTACCCTACATACTTTACTATCACTAGTATTACACTTACTATTGTTGCCACCTACTGGATATATTTTGGACTGCAGTAATAAAATTGCTTAAAATTATGGGTAATTATGATATGCAAATGTTATTTTAGGGTATATGTTTGGAAACACCAACAAGTATTCAAAGCTTGTAAAATACTGGCTAGTCCTAAAAGTTTCAGTGCAAAATAAAACTTCTCCTTTGTGGCCTGCTGCTCTTATTTAACCCTCTCACCTATCAGTTCAGGCTACTACAGGTAAGTAGGCTAACTCTTCTCTACCTTAGAGCCTTAGAGGACCCTGCATGTTTTGGGTTCCATAATGTATTTTTATTTAATGTATTAATGTAACATTTGTTAGTTCTTATAAAAATCTAACTGAGTAAATATCTGTCTAGGTTTCAGATTAAGATATGAATTAGTGGTGTCATAGTTACAGTGTTAATGTGATATATTAATGCCACTAATGCATGTTCCAAGTGTGAACCTTCAAATCAGCTGTAGCCCAGCTGCTTGCATGCTGTTGCCACAATAGAGGCCACAGATGTAGCCCGCTCATTCAAATACAGAATTTAAAAGGTACGAAGTTCCATTACTGGTTCCGTTAATGGTATAAGAGTGAGTGGGCAACAATCACTGGGGGTCAGTAATGAAACCTGGAAAATATATTCACTCCATGGAAAACACATGACTTTCCTGTTTAGGTTCAAGTGAACTCTGTGTTCACACAATGAAAACATTGATACTGAATTACAGAAAGTAATAAAATCCTTTCTAATGAAGCCAATTTTGTCCACTCATAGAGCCATAAGAAAATGCACTGCTTTTTAAACAGAAAGAATCTTTCTTTAGGGGTCAAATCTGATCAGACACATGCAACTAATCGCAATTAACTACACAAAATAATGTGATTAATCACTATTAATTAATTATTAAGTGTTTGATAGCCCAAATAGGCAGGATTAACATTTGTGTACATTAGTGTGTGTTCTCACCTCCATTGATGTTGGGGTCATGGTAAAGCTTCCACCCTTCCAAAGTGGCAGCCCGCCAAGCCTGACCACAGCGCTTACATAACCTCTGAGCCTAAGTGCAAAATAGAAAATGAAGAATGTGAGAGAAAAAAACATAATTAATCCATAAAAAAGAAGCATGGCACAGAATAATCCATCTTCACATTCTATTTATCAGACCCACATCTTCTATAAAGACTCACCTCGTCAGTCATTCCTGCGCGAATGAGTGTGAAGAGAAATCTGAGCAGTCGAGCGTCGTCCTCTCGGTCCAAATCAGCCAAAGGCCTTTTCTGCCTGATGGGGGCATCGGGGTCCAGCTCCGTCACCAGTGGCCTGCTGAAACCTGCACTGGACTGATCTCGCCTCAGCTTCAGAGTGTGCAGGGTGTTCTCCCTACACACAAGAGCAAAGGCACATAAGTCTACTGACTGACATGTCTTATTGACATATCTTTGAAGTCAAATCACCAGTTAACTATCCGACGATGTAAATGTGAGCATAGTCTCTAGTCTCTACAGGCACCTTTTGACCGCAGGACCTTTTTTTAGTTACCTATTACCACTTTAAATACTTGTCCAAAACTGACAGGACTTCACTGATAGGATTTCACTTTTGGGTTCTCACAAGTCGCCTCCCACCTTTAACAATTTTTACCCTTGTATTTCCCCCTACTTTTAGTTTTTCCTCATTAATTGACCTTCCTCCCTTACATTACCTTAAAAGTACTTTTAATCTGGAATGCTGGAGTCACACATTCATGTCATTGCTGGCATTAAGCATCGAGAAACAGCAAATACACTCAAGTGAAGACAGTTTAGTGCAGCCAAAAGGCTGTTTGGCTGTCTAAAAAATATTTTTGTCATATGCTAGATTTCTTTTTATTAATCTGTCACTAAATGGCAATTTAACCAGTAGCATCATTAGAAATATTAGGTTTTACTTGGCACTTTGACCCAAACCGGCCCATCATCACCCAGTTTTACAAAGAATTTGGCTGGTCTATGGTCAGTTTCATCCTTGCTATCCTAAACATCACTGACTGGTTAAATGAAAGGTTCACAGAGCCCTCATGTCCAACATTTTTAAAGCCCACAGGAATAAGTTGTTCCCTATTGAGGTTCCAGAACTCTTCAGTTCCTCAAGAGATTCCAGAATTCTTCAGCTTCTCAAAAGGTCCCAGAATGCGGCAGTTTCTCCTGAGCTTCCGGAACTCATTAGTTCCTCAAGAGGTCCCGGAACTCTTTAGATCCTCAAGATGAGGGGTACCCAGTCATGGTCCTGGAGAGCAACCATTGCGCAGCATTTGCTCTAACACTAATTTAGCACATTTGATCCAGAAAATGATGGCTTTTAGGGGCATCTGAATATTAGGGCTATGTGTGTTAGGTCTCCATTACCATGACTGAGCACCCCTGCTGTACAATTTTGAGCAACAAAAGAGTTTCAGAACAAAAGGGTTCCAATGAGAAAGCGCCTTATGGGCTCTGTGGTCTTTGTATATTAATCACAAACCATAAAGTCAATAATTAACAAAAGAACTACAACTCTCTGATCACTACATAAGGAGAAATGTTCACTCACCAGTACACAGACTTGGCATAGTACTCGATATTATCAGAGAAATCGCCAATGTCATCTTTGGCAATGCTCTCCAGCCAGTCCACTACCAGCTGCAGGGGAAACCCAAACAAATAATCAAACGGAGGAGTTACCCAGATAAGGCTTAATCCTGCATCTACTTATAAAATTGTGTATGTATGTATCTGTGTGTGTACCTGGCTCTGTCGGACCATGCTGTCCCTCTGAAAGAACTGCTCCATTATTGCCTTCTCACTTTCACTGGGTGCCTGATACAAACCATTATAGCGCAATTTAGGACCATTATAGCACCACTACAGACCATTATAACATCATTATAGTCTCTCATTCAAACATCTCTCCTTTTCTTCTTAGATCATTCAGTGCCCAAAACAATGCAGAAAATGTCGAAGAGAAACACAGAGCACGCATGAACACACACCAAACAAACACACATAAACACAAACAAATGGCACAGTGTGCCATCAGAATTAACTTACAGTTATATCCATCATCAGCCCATCCTCCATAGCTGTCTGGATCCTGTCCCTGAGAGAGAGAGAGAGAGAGAGAGAGAGAGAGAGAGAGAGAGAGAGAGAGAGAGAGAGAATGGGGAAACAAGAAAGAAAGAAAAAAAAACAAAGGCAGAAAGTAAAATAGAAAGAAAGAAAGAAAAAAGACAAAGGGAAATAGAAAGAAAGAAAGAGAGAAAGAAAGAGAGAAAGAAAGAAAAAAGACAGACAAAAGACGAATGAAAGGAGAGGGAGGCATAAATACACAGAGTAAAAATGGGAAATAGAAAGAAAAAAAACAAAGAAAGAAAAAGTTCAGAAACAGAGAGGACAGTGTTACTTATCTGATGATGAGTGTAGGAAAGATAAATGCTGATACTGGTCAGTGTGTGTGTGTGTGTGTGTGTGTGTGTGTACCTGTAAAGAGAGGTGATGAGTCTCCAGGTGACCATCTCCTGCTGCAGTAGCCAGGTGATGCTGGCAGTTTTAGAGGACTTCTGCTGACTGGAGGATGAGCGCAGAACCAACTTCTGCAGCGTGTTCACCTAAACAATACTTCACCATCAGGACCATGTGGACTTACCGACAGTTTAATGGTAGTCATCATCACTGTTATATTCAACCTTAAAACGTTTTTGTTCTGCTTTTTTTTTCCCCCACCATCTGAAACACCAGCTGCTCTTGACATTGCATGAATTTTCATAATGAATGGACAACGTTCACTTAGGGGCGCAGCAAAACACATTTCCAGGTCCGCTCTGACTGTTCATTCTGAGTTCAAGAATCGACTGAATTTCTAAAATATTTTATGTATTAAAAATGTCTCCTGAATTCAAAATCAAGCACCTCATTCGTAAATTATGAGGTCACAGATCACTGAGTGCTGAGGAATCTGGTGTAGCCTCGTGAGGCCAGACATGATGTCGTTATGAGAATTTACAAGACTTGTTAAACTTCTGGTGCTGGACTGCAGTGGCTAACACTGGTACACTCTCTAAACCCTGCCCCCAAATTGCTCTACCCTGCACTGTTTGAACTGTTGGATTAAATCCACAAAAAAGCTAGCTAGCGATATGCTATTGTTGGCTAGTGGAATTGTGGTTCCCTTGCACAGGTAATGTTTACTTTTAATGTGTGTAATGTGTTCTGCACAAATGCATCTACAAGCTTAACTGGAGTTTTTTCGGTGGGAGGGGCATGATTACTTATGATGGCTTTGGTCAGCATTACTAAGCTTATTTGATGGATAAACAATCACAGCAGTAGTGGATCATTTATGAGTGATAAACAGTGTCGGTGTTGTCATTACTGTCACTGCACCAAAACAGGAGTTGAAAGTCACCACTTCCGGAGATACAAGGCTTTGTTGTGACAGCAGCAATATGAAGATCTTTGATGACCGACAGAGTCAAAAGGGAGCTGTGTGTGTGTGTGTGTGTGTGTATTTATACCTTATCCTGACAGATAGTCTCATACTCCTCCAACAGGTCAAACACAGCGCTGGACGAGTGACGCAGGTACGACTGCAGAAACTCCGGAAACAGGCTCACAGAGGCTGAAAGAGAAAAAGAGTGTATTAAATAGTGCATTATTTATCAATTTTACTCACATCTATTGGCATGACCTTTACATGGTCTTCGTCGGTGTTTGACTGGGCATTCTGCTGCACTTTAGTCCTTCATCAGTAGTCAGTTTAGACGACAGGACCCTGTGCTATGATGTCTATTCGAACCGGAGTACTATTAGCTCATTATTTTGATATAGCGAATTATAGAAGATAATTCTTTCCAGAATTATTACTGAGCAGTCTTGAACACCGCATTGCAGATTCATACTGAAGTAAAATCACAGATCTCATCGCTAATCGCTCAAATTATGGAACCTCCATTCTACTACTATTACTATATGAAGAGTAGAGAATCTTCTGTAGTAACAAATAAAGAAACAGAGAAAGAAAGAGTTATATTTTATAAATATGCAGAAACGTGAGCATGTACCAGCCTCTCCAGGGTCCTCCTCCTTCAGCATCACAGCACTCATGTTCATCTCATCAGTGAAGCTGGCGTCCCCCAGCACAGAGAGCGGAGAGGGATACAGACTGTTCGTCCAGTCACTGTCGTCCAGGTTCTGGCGTGTAGAACAAAGAGCAGAGAGAGATTTTAGATAATTTGTAGGGGTGTAACGATTTACAAAATTCATTTTTCAATTCAATATGATACAATGGTGTCTTGATTCAATACATTTTTCGATATTCGATATTAAGAGTTTGATGTATTATGCAAACTTTGTTTATTAGAGCATTCAATATTACAAATGTTAAATATTTGAAACAAAGTTTCTCAAACCCAAACACACATTAAAAAGAATTTTCAATGGTGATTGAGCATTAGCACTGCAATTTAATCCATGACTAGGCTTAATCCAAGTCTGGGAATCAGTCCACAACGTCCAAATCTCACCTTCTATCTTTATGAGATTTAATCAGTTATAACATAAAAGAGATTTAAATAAAATGAGGAAATAAAATGCATCAATGCCTTTTTCACACCCTTGCTGCATGAACTGAACTGAACTGAGGTGAAATGCAAGATTTGATTAACCATAAAAACAATTTTCAAAAAAAAGGTAATGGAATCGTAATGAGGGCAGAGTTATATATGCCACCACTATAAGCTGTTAAACGGTGACCCGGTGTGACTCTCACCATGCTGAGGCTGCCTTTGGGGCGTGGTGTGTTCACAAAGCGGGACGGCCTGCTCCCTGTGCCTAAAATAGCCGACACATCTGGGTTCTTCAGAGCACTTCTGGGGGTGACTACGTAAGAGAGTGAGAACAACAAAACAACACCAGAGATCACATACAATATTCAGCAGAAAAAGAGGGACATAGACAAAAAAGAAAAAAGACACTTTTAAAGGACTCATCAGGGAAAATCAATTGCACATTCAATTATGTATGTAACTATATAAACATTGTTTCAACACATACCATTCACTCCCCAGTCCATAGACTACACATATGCAAACTGAGAAAAAACAACCTAACCTGAATTCATTCATTTTGTGATGTTTGTAAAAAAACAGCAACAACAAAAATATTTACATATCAGCCGATCCAGCCTACAGCTGTTTAGCCCTGCCGATTCACACTGACGTTTTCAAAGACAGCTTTTTGAATGAGGCGCAGTACAGAGCAGCCAATCAGAAGAGGTCATTTACATACATCAGTCTCCTTCTTCAGCAGTCAATGGCTGCCTGACAACAACAGCCTACACAAATTACCTTTCTTTGTGGAAGGAGGGGAACTTTTCACTGCCTCTCATTGTAAACTGCAGTCATTTCATAAATTTGTACATTTTTTGTCACATAACAATGAAAGCATCATAATATAGCAGCGTTTAATCCATAAACTCTCATTATTAGTAGTTCTGCTCACCAAATTACCACCTCAATGATAATGCTAATCTAGCACCTCAATTTCCTGTTAAGACAGCATCACGCCAACGTTGTTACACATTCATTTTCGTAAACACTGCGTTTAACACTACTTAAGGCAGATTTAACTAAAAATACAGACAGGTAAAGCATGTAAGCTACTCAAATAACATACACTTTCCTTTTTATTCTGCAGTTTTACAGTGAATATAGTAAATACATCAATTCAAATACTGAATGGAGAAGTAGTTTCAGCCTAGTTTTTAAGAAAATAAGTTGTCAGCACCTCAGTTTAAACAAACCTGAATATTTACCATCAGTACACTCAGCGGACCATGTGAGTGGCATAACACTATTAACAGCACAACGTGTTATAGTAATTGATGCATTAGCGATTGGTGCATTGGTGGTCATAGATATGTGCACAGCACAGCATACAGTGTTTTACACTGGCTTTGAACACAGCTCTGTCAATCAGATTTTAGAACCATATTATGATAAATGCTTTTACAACTATATAATGAATTAAATGTACTTAAGCCTCTGTTTATCGCAAAATGTCACAATACTGTAATAATATGTGGTATCAAGTTTTTTTCCCTAGCCTAGCAATTAGTGTGTTATTCTGAGATAGTTGGCAATGTGTGAGGGGAACAACATTGATGGTGGGAGGGATAAGGCTTGTGTGTTGGGAGAAACCTTACAGGACTGTTTGATGAGTGACCCAGGAGTGTGCCGTAGCAGAGCTCGAGCAGGAGTGGCTGTGGAGGCTGAAGGAGACTCAACCTGCGCAAGTGGAACTGGACAAAGAATTAAGGATCAAACAGAAAGCACTACACTGACAAAATACTATTACAGTCACAATATTAGTCTAAACATGACCAGGTACACAGTGCAGCTTGACTATCATGGTCCAACTAAGCTTAATGTGATTACAAAAGATAGAGTTCGATGAAAACAACCTCCGTTGACTCTCACACAGAATTGCTTTGACATTTTGAAGCATTTTCTGTAATACCATGTGTGCCTGCTTTATGACACCTAAGGAGGACAGGCACTATCAAACTAGACCAGGAAAATGGCCCCCACAGCATAACAGAGTCACTAGACCCCTCTCTGTAGGCCTCATGCATTCAGGCCTGTACTATTCTTTTGGAAGAATGCCTCATCTGATCATACCACTTTACACACCTCTGCAGTGCAGAGCCTCGAGCTTTTCACACTACCCTCACAAACAAGCATTTGTCTTTGCAATGAGGGATTTATTCACTGCAGCTCTACTAGGATATCCCTCTCTAAGCGGTTGTGGACAAACTGTTCTAGCTGACAGTCCTGCATTGACATTCTGACTCATCTGAGGAACAGCAGCGCTTCTGTTTTCCTTACCTACAGTATTAAAGAGTCACACTCACTGAATGTGAACTTTCAACTACAATTTCCAATCCCATTTACTATCTTTCCCAAATATCTAAACGCAGATGTCTTTTTAGTCACTGTTCCTATTGAATCACTAGACAGTTAAGCAGTCTTCGTGACTGAAGCTCCAGCCATCCGTGCCCCAATAATGAAGCTCTTTTAACTTCACTTGTGATGTTATTTCTCAACTGTATCTTGCAATTAAAGATGATCTGGCTTCATCCATCAAAAAAGTGGATAAAATCACACAGCATGGCTACTTACAGGTTGCTGTTGAGGTTGTGATACTAATAAAGTTGGAACTGCTCCTCTCTTCAGTGTCAAACGCTGAGCAAAAGGAGCTCAATACAGTCCAAAATTTGAGAAACTGTCCAGAGTGAAATGTGCAGAGCAAACTAACAACTTTGAATTAAAACTGTCCAGAATCCTGTTAAAGACGTGGGAGCTCAAGTTGGCTTCCTGTGCGCCAACTTGTTTTGCCAATTTTCCATTCCACAATAAATAGTGCTGCAGTTACATCCTGGTGCCTCTACAAGTAAATTTTGAGAGCATAAATATTAATAAGCCAAGACTATAACATAACAGTTTAGGACTCTGGAACTGGTCTGTTTTACCACCCTCTTTTGCAGATGTGGGATTTGCATTTGAAGGTGGAGACAATAGTGTTTGAGGTTCCCATGTACCGAACTCTCCTTATTCAACTATGCCAATGTCGATACAGTTTTTCATTCTATGGCACCTTTACAAACTCCAAGCTATTATGTACACATAGATGTAACTGATGTAATTAGTGACATGGTTAAAAATTGTCCTGCATTATTTTTTACCAAAATAATTAACTTTTGTTGGATTAGTTTTTGTTGGATGAAGTACCCTGATTTATTAAAACATACGTAAAAACATATACATTTACAATCAGTGGACCAGGTTCCAGTACTGACACAGCTCTACATCAATCAGATCAGACCTGGCAAGGCTTGGTAAGGATACATGCCACCTTTTTGTGAGAGCTTTTTCTCCGCGCAGCTCGAGTCACCTCTGAGTCGCGAACAACGGGAGAACTCAACCAGTTCTGGCTCCTACAACAAAACAAATACACAGTGATGTGGAACACATTACAATCACGATTTACAACCAGCAGTGCTAAATCTGGGGTAAAGACCTTAAACTATATCTAGCCTTTTCTTTAACTGCTCTTCCATCAAACTTCCCAACTGAACATAACCACAAAATTATCATCCTTTGTTCACCAAAATATGACCTGCAACTGTTTACAGTAACTTACTGCACTAAATTATTTCTACAACTCTAATCTATGAACACTAAAGAATGATATAAACAGATAACGACCAATAAGCAATTAAATGAATAAAGCAAATCAGACCTATACAGTTAAAAAAAAGATGATTATTCAAGGGTTTATTTCAGAAAGGTATTGGTTCTAATTAACTAATTAGAACTATGAGATCTAGATAAAATTATTTCAAGCTTAAAGGTGAAATTGTTCTTCAGATTTATAGAAAATGTGTTGCATATGGTTCTAAATACAACCTTTGAGAAAACTGTTCAATATAGCACCAGCAGAGGTTCTTCTGTTGTTACAAGCTTAAAAGAAGAATCTTTTCGGTGCTATATAGAACTATTTACCACATACAACACACCAATCTGAAGAACCATTTTACCACGCCACAAAAAAAGCATTAAGTGGTACTATACAGAACTAAACAGCACTACTGCCTTTACTATAGAACCCTTGACGAACCATCTCTTTTAAGTGTGTAGAATAACCACTAATGGTTTACATTATTGAGTTCAATATTTTTCCCACCACCGTTTTCATGTTTTTCTATAACATCATACTGACAGCAGCCACAACACTGTTACAGCAACAAGAAGAAGGTTTTGTAAGTAAAGCACATGAGGGAAAAGCTTTTGTTTTACAGGCAATAAAAAGACATAAATACGTGCAAAACACAAGTAAACATAAATAAAGTCTCTGAACTGAACGTCACGGCCAGTTAGCTTAGCCTCTCATGCTAACTACTTCACACTACATCATGTAGAAGCTTATTTCGCGTTAGCTCGCTGAGTCCCAAATTTAAAGGTACAAAAAGATAATCTCTCATTGTTAATATTAACTCATATAATGATTATTAATTGATTGTTACCAATCCATTTCGAACTCGTGCCGCTGGATTTGCGCCTTTGCCGTTTGCTCTTCTTCTCCGCTTCACGCGAAGCTGTTTCTGCTCGCTGCTGCCGCCAGCGGCCAAAGAAAGAAACAACCACGCCGGGTAGGAGGGAAACGGAGAACGATACAAGCAGAGAATTGATAGTTTTCATTCACACAGTCAATACAAAACAGTGCGAGAAACGGGCAACAAAACACCTGAAAATACAACTAACAAACAGACTTACTCTTACGTGAAAAAAGAAGCTTCTTCGTTGTAGGTTTTACAGCGTGGAGAATATTTAGTCAACGCAGAGCTCCCTCTCAAGGACCTTTAACAGACTGGTCTGACGCTAGAGGGCGCTCACGTGTCCAAAATGAATGGTGCTGTGGAGCTACGTGCTTTTGTATTGCAACGACTTTCAGTCCTCATAATATGTTACATGACAGAGAGAATAAATATGGATAACAGGAATATATTCTATAATGCACTAACATATGTGATCTAAAAACGAAAAGAGCAAAAAGAAAAGAAAAGAAAAAATAACTCATAAGGCACTCATGAAATAATCATAAACTCTAATAGGTTTTAAATTTTTCTTGTTGTTTATCAATCTAAATGTCTTTAATAGTGAACTAACGTCCATTAAGAAGAAATCAAACCTGGGAACTGTTGGGAACATTTTGCACTTGTGTATATGGTATTTATTTACTCATTAAAATCATAATATTTACCACATGCTCCACAACTGGTCTGTTTATGAGAAGCAGCATATTACATCACACAACTTTTAGTTAAAGGCAGTATTTGTTTGTTTTCTTTGCAAAGAAAATTGAGAAGTCAGAGCCAGAATAGAAACAACAGGACAGTCAACCAAAAAATGAGGTACAGACTCACATTTAACTCAACAGACGGGGCAGCTAAAGTTGTTTTTGGAATTTTGTTGTTATCCCATTTGTAGTAAGTATTGTAAACGATCTTCAAATGCACTTCTCTATCTTTGTTCATAAATTTCTTATGCACAACAGGAAAGCTGTGTTACATGCAAAATGTTATTTGCATACAGTATAGTAGCAACAACGCAAGTGTCCTACTGTCCAAAGTTTGCATAGCATTGAAAAACAGAGAAATACCAGTGAGTTCTCTGATTTTTTTATGTAATAGAAGGTAATTAACATGTTTAGCCAAATAGCTCTGTTCAGTCTCATTCATTGAGGAATCCTTCATACATGCCCTTTAGCATTTTGCAGTCACGAATTTGGTATAACAGGATGAATAAAAATTAGGTCGTGATCCCCTAAACTGGCTCTAGATACAAGAATTCCTCCAGCTCAGTCCCTGTTCACCTGTGCTGTATACCTTCCCTGACTCATTCAGCTTCAGAAGGATCATTAGCTAACCTAATGATGTCATTCAGCTGCAAGGCAACAAGAATTTGGACTACAAGACTGGAGCTGCGAAACATTATGCTACATTAAATCAACACACAACATGCTGTGGTTTGTTTTCTTAAACCTGAATCACATCTTTAACTACAAAAAAAGCCCTTCTGGAGCTCAGTCAGGTGCGTGAATGAGGTTACATTTTTGCTCAGTTCCTCAAAGTTCCAGTTCCTGAAACAGCACACAATCTCCAGAAACATCTTTTGAGATATCTGAAATTGTAACTTTAAAGGGGAATTCCACCAATGTTTCAAAATGTCAGCGTAATTTAGTGGTTGAGATGTAAACAAAGTCATTCAGAGTGGTTTGATGTGAAATGGTTTATTGTAGACAAACTTACTGACTCGGATTTCTTTATAGTGGTGATGGTGGGAACCAGGGGTCGCAACGTCTACAACACAAGTATAGCCATTTTATTTATTATCTGAAATCACCAGTGAACCTACACATGTCTTCTGAGCTTTTATATGTAATGTTGCTGATGGTAAAATAGTGGTCAACCTGAAAAAATGAGTTTTCTGTGGGGACTATGTTAACTTTGAACACCCTTAATGTAACCCTTCACCATGACTAGATTAAAATAAATTGATTAAAATATGTTTTAGGCCAAAACTTTATCACAAAACTATCATAAAACAAAAGCTCAGACATCAGGCAGTGTATTCATAACCATTTCATGTAATAAGTTCCTGTAAGGGAGTTTTTAGAGGTGGATGCCTGGTTCCTATCACCTCCACTGTGAACAATTTGGCAAGTTTCTTTAGAATGGAGCATTTCAAACCACGTTGAATGATTTTTTTTTTTTTTATATCTTAACAGAATTTAAAAAAATCAGTGGAGTTCCCTTTTAAGGCTGTACGGCTCACACCAAGCTTATTTGCTAAAGTTCACACAAGAGTTTAGGTTTTTGTGACATTGTATCTTTTTCATTTGGTTCAGCTGGATTTCACACAGCAACATTTAAAGTGCACCTAATTACACACACAGGTGTTCTTTGATTGGTGGCCCATACAGAAATCTGATATATGGCAATATACATGTATATTTCAATATGACATATTAACATATATGGATTTCCCTTTCATTAGTTTACATTTGTCACAAGATTTTTTAAATTGGCCATTTCAAGTATGGGACATAATTTTAAGTGTCACGCCTTGTACGAGCTCGCAGACTGAAATGGACTTCATTTCCCAAGCTCCCTTGGGAGATCACGTGACTTCAAACTTCCCTTCAGAATCGGAGTCCAAAGTGGACTCCATTACCCAAGAGCCAAGCGGGAGTCATGTGACTTCCGACACATTCTCACACGCCTATCAGAGATCTCAGTCTCCTGAGTATTAACTGGTTTCACCTGTGTGCCTAGTCATGTGTTTAGTTAGAGTAGTATATAAGCCCGGGCTTTAGTGAGTATCAGTGTGAGGTATTGCTTCCCAGAGAACATACTGAGCGTTATTTCTGATTCTGTTTGTGACCTTTGCTTTGTTTTTTGACTCTGCCTTTTGCCTGTTTCCTTTTGTACTGTTGCCTGGTATTTGGATCTGTGTTTTGACTATTTTTGCCTGCCTTTTGACCTTGTCTTTTGTCTTGCCCTATTGTTTTGTTCGCCTTGTGATATGATCACTTTCGTGATCTTTTTGCACTTCTCAGTTTTGACCCACACCTGTGTTTTGACTACGTTTTTGCCTACTGTTAATAAAACCAATCTTGTGATTTTTATCCACACGCGTCTGGATTCTGCTGAATGGTTACAGAATACCTCGCCTAACATGCAGACGCAGACCCGGAAGCCTTTCAGAAGGCTCTGAACGAACAAGGGCAACTACTAGGTCGTCACTAGCAGTTTTTGGCCGGAGTGACACACTCCCTTGAGTCACTCGTTCACCAGCAAGCTGAACAACAGGCGCAGTTGGCTCAACTAGTTGCTAGTGTGAAAGGACTGACCAGACAATTACAGACGATGAACTTCACGGACACTTCAACCAACACTGGGCTCTCAACCACGACTGAAGGCACACCAATGGCTGTATATCCGGTTAGTAAGCCTGATAAATTCGGGGGAGACCCTGATAAATGTCATGGTTTCTTGTTAGTGTTCGGTTTACTTTGACAATTCCCCTGATAGCTCTGACCAAGCTAAAATATCTTTCATAGTTTCTAGACTAGCAGATAAAGCGCTAGAATGGGCCACTGCCAGTTGGAATCAAATACACCGCCTTTCATATGCTCAGTTCCTGAATTTAAGACGGTGTTTGATCATCCCTATGAGGGTAAGATTAGTGGAGAGATATAGTCTAAGTTACGTCAAGGAAATCGCTCAGTGGTAGACTATTCGCTTGAGTTTAGAACTCTAGCCGCGAGTAGCGGATGGAATGAGGCAGCACTACTATATACTTATATTTCGTCAAGGACTTAATGCTGAAGTAATAACGGAACTCGCTAGCAAGGATGACGATTTGACGCTGGACCAATCAATAACACTAGCCATCAAGTTGGATCATCTCATGCACCATCGAACCCAAGTAAAGAGTGGAAGAAACGTTCGAAAGAACTTTCCCTCGGGTGAAAACCCCATTCCAGAGACCCCAGAAATTCCCCGAGCTCATGCAATGTGATTCGTCACGACTGTCTCAGGAGGAAAGGTTGCACCGTCTGACCAATCAGCTCTGTTTCTATTGTGGAAAGGTGGGACATCAAGTACGCGAGTGCAGAGCCAGACAACAACAAAGCAAGGCGCCGACCCCTGGAAAGCATGTGGTGTTCCCGCATCACAGACCCTCTCGAATTACAAACCAGCGCCCTCCATAAGGAAACACTGTCCTTCCTAGTTCTTGAACAATCTGAATTTGACTTAATTTTAGGCCTTCCCTGGTTAGAAAAACACAACCCCACTATCTCATGGTCTGAACATACCATCACTAAATGGTCAGATTATTGTGTCCAGTACTGCCTGACAACACCTATGTCCATTTTGTCCACTTCGATAGAAAGCCTCAATGCAGATACCACATTTGTCATTCCCCCTGAGTATCTAGATCTCAAAGAAGTCTTTAACAAACAAAAGGCCACAGAGCTGCCACCACATAGAGAATACGACTGTGCAATTGAACTTATAGAGGACCCTGTGTTCCCCAAGTCCTGAGTATACCCTTTAACACAAGAAGAACAAGAAGCCCTCGACGTGTACATCCAAGAAGCCCTCCAGCAGGGTTTCATTCAGCCTTCTACTTCCCCGATTACCTCTAGTTTTTTCTTTATTAAAAAGAAAGATGGTGGTCTACAACCTTGCATTGACTACAGAGCTCTGAATCAGATCTCTAAGGCCTATCCCTACCCTCTTCCATTGGTTCCGGTAGCTTTAGAACAATTGCAAGGGGCAAGATTTTTCACCAAATTGGATTTACGTAGCGCTTATAACCTCGTTAGGATTAAGCAAGGGGATGAGTGGAAGACTGCTTTTGTGACCACCAGGGGGCACTATGAATACCAGTTGATGCCCTTCGGACTCTCTATCGCCCCCTCGGTGTTTCAGGCATTCATTAATGACGTCCTTCGAGACATGCTAGGGCAGTATGTTATCGCTTACCTGGATGACATTCTGGTGTATTCACCTACTTAGAAACACATGTCCAACATGT